GTCACTGGCATATCTTGTCAATCAAACTACCTTGCAAAATTCATAGAAAATAAACATGTGTCTAACATTTTACGCAAAAATAAACATTAAAAGTTGTTAAATTTCAAGTTTTAATTCAGTTTCAGACCTCAGCTTTTATACTCGGTTTAATGAATTTATAAATCACTAATTACAGTTAAAACTCTAGTAGCAGATCTAAAAAGTTACAAATTCAAAACATGCCAAATCATAAGAGTTGCTGAATCACAAAGTGTTGTTTGTGTGTGTGTATATATATATATATATATATATACACACACACAGCAACCCTGACCATTAATATATATAATCTTTTGCTTTTGTGTTTTAATCCACTTTTTCATTAGACATTTGATCTATTTTTGTTCTCATTGCAGACAATCTTTGTTTCACTTGAATGGTTCCAAAATAAAAAGTTCCAACCTAAAGGCAGACTTCAAGATTAACATCAAATCCAATGTTTGCGAACCAGAAATGAAAGTAAACTTTGGTAAGGTTTTTTTTTGTTTTTAATTTCAATGTTACCAGGTTTCTAAAATGTGTTTATCAGTTTTCTGATGAACAACTAATATTTAATGGTTCATTAAAGATCCCTCTAAGCACTTGATAGAAAATGAACAAACTTTTAGCAAAATCCATACTGACTATTCCAATTTTTAAAAGTTGGATTCTATTCCTATTCTCTTATCCATTTCCAAGATCCTGGGTGCCTAAAGTTGTTAAAATAGTTGAGTACATTCACTTGTTTGGATAATGATCATTATTAATTGGGTTTTATTTCAATTTCTGTCAATCTTGTAAAAGTTCTCTCTGATTTCCTCTGTCTGGAGATACTCACCTATTTGTCAAGCCTTTTTAATACCAAAGATATCAAAAGAAATGCCAGTTATGCTATTTATTTTCTTCATATGTTGTCCACCTAATCATGTCCACTGGTTTATTTTCATTTCTGCTACATGTTCTAGTTAAGTTTATTTTCTCAGTAATACTTTTCTGGATTTTTGGCACTCTTTTTCATCTTCAAGATACAACTTAAATATCAAAACAGATTTGAAATCAAAACTTGTAAGATTCAATCAAGAAAAATTTTCCTACCTTCAGAAATACTTTGCTAGTATGGAAAATTATTTATGTGAATTAGTCATAAGAAAAACTCAAACCTGACATAGAAATACTGCAGAATTTGCCACATAACTGTATGTAAATAACCAAAATGAATGAATTTAGAGGTATTTGTTTAACAAGTCCTACCCATCAGGATGAGTGGGTAGTATAATGGGTACTAGTGCAGAAAATGGAATCAGTGAGCTGAGCTCAAATCCCAGGCTCGTCTGCTGTATTTACTTTCACATAGTTATGGGTTAAATATCAGGATAGACTGGGCTCTTTAGCCTTGGAGGGCAACCAATCTAAAAGAAGGAGAAATAAATTCCAAACCAAGGAAAAGGCAATTGGGGTGGTGGTGATGGTGGGGGGGACATTCTACTATCTTTCCAAAGAAGTTATGGCAATTCACAGATAATAAAGAAAAGGAATCTGTGGAAAGTCATGATCATCTATGGCCTGAAGGAAAATGGCAAAACATTCCATTATATTATAGCTTGATATTTAAATCATTAAATAGTTTAATTATTTCCCAATTGTTAATGTGACATGATTTCTGAAATATTTTATTACTATTCTTTCTTTTACCAGTGGATGGCACGTGTGTTTTGTACAAGACTAAAAACCTAAACACATTGGAGATATTCACCCATTTTTCAAGTCTTTGTAATGAGAAAGACATCAAAGAAGATGTACCAGCTGTACTAACCAAATCAGAAAAAAAAAGGCAAAAATAATATTGTGTTTATTTCTTCTCATGATCATGGGAAATGCCCTGGACTTGGAAATTGATTTTGCTTCTCATAGAAGTCTAATAAGAAATGGTGGAAATATGTTCCTTGGAAATGTCATGTAAATAAACTTTTCTTAAAAAAAAAAAAAAAAATTTTTTAAGTATTTCTTTCTTACTGTTATTTAAAATTGGCTTTTTTACTAGCTATGAATAAATTATATAGTTCACAAAATATCAGTATGATTTTTTTTTTTTTTTTAATCGAATATTTGTAGGCAATCAGAAAAAATAAAATTGTAAAATAATATCTGCTGGTTACAGTTAACTTGCAAAAGAATAAAAATTTTGTGCATGTGTCTAGTCTGAAAATTTCAAGGAAAACAAAAGTTCTAATTGTAATAAAAAAAAAAAAAAAAAAAAAACTTCCCAATAGTTTTTTAAAGTGAGTGATTTTAAAAGAGAATCTATTTTTAATGCATTAAAATTGTTTGGGCCATACCAAATAAATTAGCTTTAACCTAAAAACATAGTATTTTGTATTCCTTTGTGTTGTAAACATTAGCATAACATTTCAACCAATCCATTTCTCCTTCAGCTATATGATTTGTAAAGAGAGGGCAATAGGTTTTTTTTCTGGTCCTTCTAGGCAAAATGGTTACTAATATACTAGCCAGAACAGTTCATTCCAGTAACAAAGAAACAGACAATAAAATCCTCTGCTCCATATGTAACACAAATTATTCTAATAAGATTAACAATACAAAGATTGGATTTTTCATTTTTTGAATTCTATAGATAATCAGCAGCATTATGTTTTGCTAATTCTGTTTAGTTTATAAAAGTCAAGTGGCTTTAGTTAAACAATATACAAATATTTACGCTAAAATTTCTATTGTTGATTATAGATGATTCTCTCAATCAATATCGCTTACAAATAATTCTATTTCAATTATTGCTTATAAAAGATTTTTTTTCAAGTTACATCTAAAATTTTCTAATATTTTAGAATAACAAATAAAGATGACTGAAATTGCAAATAAATCGGTAGCGTTCATTTATTTAAATAAACAAAAAACAATTTGGACACAAACTTAAAAAAACAAATAGACATTCTAAGAAAAAAAGTTGGAGATAGAATTTTAAAAATTTTAATTGTCTTCCCACCCTGACAAATTTCTGACACTAATTTCAGGGTAAAAGAAAGTCAATTAAATATGAAAGAATGTTTATTTGGACTGTACATTTATTTTTATGTTCATAGTCTTCAGGTATTTCTTAAGTACAAGACTGACCGCGAGCAGTAAGGATCCTTATATCTGACTGATAATTAGTTTTCTCTTTATTATGATTGTTTTGTTTTTTTAAATAAGCAGGCACATAGATGAAATTTTATAAAACTAATCTCATTTGTTATCAGTTTTTCCTTATCTTCCATGATTTTGTGGTAAAAATTCACACAAAATAGTCACTTGATATTTAAGCCACAAGTTCACTGCTATAGTAAATTGCAAGTTCAATCTTATAGCTTCATTGATACAAAGTGCTATTTTTAATTCATTATTGCAAGACGTGCAGGAAGACAAAGATTCAGGAGTAAAAAGTGGCATAAGGCATATTCTCCTTGGATTAAAATTAGTAAAAGTAACAATTTGTTTTAAATTCAGTCTTGTCTGCCATGCTTTTATTAAAAACAACACACCCTTTGCTTCTTGATAAGCTGCCTTTGACTTGGATTGATTAAAAAATAAATTTTCTTAAAAAAACACAAGGTGGGGTTCCATATTGATACATTTGGCATAAATATGTCGTTTGAAAATTTCAATTTTATACGTAAAGTTGAAAAAACAAAAAACAACCCCCCGCCCCAAAAAACACACTTCAAAAACTTCCCCAAAGAAACAATAAAATTAGATTCACTTCAGTGCAACTTATAACAATATAAAAGAAAGAAAAGAGATAACCAATGCTTTATAAAGTAAATTTTCAAACTGAAAGAAAAAAAAAAATCTCTCCATCACCCAAATTTTTATCTTATTTACTAAAGGCTTATATGAAGTGACTAGTAAAATATTTATAAGAAATTAATAGATTTTTTTTTTTTTTTTTTTTAAATATTGACATTATTGTAAGCTTTAATATTTAGTAGACACAACTGTTTAAGTAGACATAACTGTTTTTTGTTTTTTTTAAACAATGAAATTAAATTCTTACTAAAGAAAATGAAAGCTCATAGTTTACAGGTAAAAAAAAAAAAAAGTACACTTGAAAGTAGTTTCCTAGATTAAAAAGGGGAATACAGCTTAGTTTCCTGCTGGGAGCCAAATCATTTTTAGTAAAAGACTTTTATTCCTATGTCAGTAGACATTAATTTCACTGTTTTTAAAAAAAAAAAAAAAAAACAGGCATGTCTACTCAAACATATGTACCCACTAAATATAAGGGTACAAAATGATGCAAGTAAAAAAAAAAAAAAAAAAATCATAGCCAACTTCACTTTTGCAGAAATGTTTTAACCATTGCCAAAAAAAGAAAAAAAATCTCAAAGAGAAAAAGAATATGAAATGCTTTTCATCTCAGGGAAATTTATAACACTTAAAATATAAAGTGCTAAGTTTTTATACTTAAATATTGGTTTTGACATTATTACAAATTTTATATGCAAGCATAACTTAGGTAGAGTATAAGACTGAAGGTTCTTATACCAGAGATTCCAGCCTACCTAAAAAGATGCTTTTTAATACATGTTTCAGAAAGAAAACCAACTTCAAACCAGAGAAATGAAACCTTCCACACTTATTGGTCAGTCTTTGGTTATATAAAAATTACTCGGTATTTGATGTTTGTAAAACAAGTCATCAGAAAATATATCAATTGAAACATAAGTGGACTTGAAACTTGCAGGATGACTGTAACAAAGTGAATCAATAATTCAAGATTGTTCATACCAAACATGTTTCAGATTTTTAATAGAAAAATTTTTTTGCTTATTTTAACAAGTGGAAATTTTTTGTTTCATGATTTTTTTTTTTTTTTTCATTTCTTTTATAATTGTGGGCAGATCTAAACCAACCTGATTAGAAAGGTCAGTGATCTTTATAGCAAACCTTTGTTTTTCTTCCACCTCCAAACTATAAAAAAAATTAAATTAAGTTGGTTTGATTAGTTCATATTCTGTGAGTTTCTGGAGGGCAGATTCAGCACATTCCTTAATAGTCTTCTTTTCTGATTCATCAAACCTGGAAAGAGCTATCAAGACCTCAAGCAGTTGTCCCTCAACTATCTTGGCAGCAATATCTTTATCGACAGCAACCATATTCATTACAATAAAGATACCACGATGCTGCATTTCCAGACATTCATTTACTGCCAGACTAAGAAGAAGGTCCACCCAATCATTTACCTACAACAAATAAAGTGAAATTCAATGAATACAACATCAAACTATATTAATAATTTCTATTTACATATCTAGAGCTAATTCAATAAATCATTTTCATGTCAAAATCATTGTCAGTGTCAAATGTTAGATAAATCCATTGAAATTATTATCAGATCTTATATTTATACTCCTCAGAACAAACACTGATGATAAATTTCAAATACTATACTTGTCTAAAAATACACTAAATTTCAGTATTCTTCACATATTTTAATAGGGGTGTGTGTGTGTGTGCGCGCATACATATATATTTATATATATAAAATGCTTGAGGAAATCGAATGTCTAGCCACACTGATGAGCCGCGAAACAGTGCAGATGACGTTTATATATATATATATATATATATATATATAAAGTGCTCAGACATATAAAACATTTGGACAATTTTTACATAATTTACATCTAGAAAAGAAAATTATAAGAATACAAGAAAAATTAAATAAAATAACTTAGCCACAGTACCTTGTCAGTCATTTTTAATGAAACTTGTATAAAAGAGATTGCTACCCAAGTACTATATATATATATATATATATATATATATATATGGTTGTCTGGAAAGTTCATGTTGATTTTTAAGGGAAATTAAAACACAAAACAAAATTATTTCATTAAATATCTAACCATTTTGTTTGTTGTACAAGCTTTCTCCATTTTTCCTTCAACTTAAAGATTCCATCTTCTCAGAATTTTGGTGGTTTCTCAGCAAAGAACTCATTAAGGTAATTTTTTTAATGTCATCCAAAGAATTAAAATTTTTACCATTGAGATTATTTTTCAAGGATCTGAATAAATGAAAATCCAAAGGAGTAATGTCTGATGAATATGGCAGGCAGGGTAACACATCCCAGCCAAGCTGCAACAATCTTTGCCAAATCACCAAAGAAGCTGGTACTATCTTGAGGGGAAAATAACACCTTTCCTCTGTTTGCCAATTCTGGGTATTTTTCTTAATGCTTTTAATTCATCCAGTCTTTTCAAACTCAAATTAACTGGTTACTTGGCAGAAGCACAGAGTACAGAATTCCTTTCTAATCACAGCATGATTTTCTTAGGATAAAGGCCTACTTTTGAGGTGGCTAAAGTTGGCTCATGTCACTTACCCTAGGATCTTTTTCACTGAACATTGTTGCAAAGAATACATTTCTCATTGCCTGTCACAATTTGCTTAAAAAAAGGGTGCATTTTCATTGTGTTTATACAGCAATGCAATCCAAAAATTCTTTTCACTCAGATCATGTGGTACCCAAGCATCATAGTGATTTGAGTACCCAAGCTTCACTAAGTGATCATGTATGGTGAATTTTGATAAATTTAAATTTTCTGCCAATTCCCACATTGTGTAATGTGGATTATTTTCAACCAATATCTTAATTTGGTCATCATTTGTAGTATGACTGCTTGTCATTAATAAGGCTACAATCACCAAATCTAAACTTAGCAAATCACTTCTGTACAGTTCTGTTAACTAAAGCACCTTCATCATACACAGTTTTGTTGCTTATAAGTCATTTTTGCCTTTACAGTAAAAAAAAAAAGAAAAAGAAAAAAATCAAGTATTTAAAATGTACCTTATAATCTTCCATTTTCATAGGGATGCAAAATTGACATGAATTAAGTAATTTTAAACTTTCTTTCTCAAGTAATAGTTTGAAGTGTGCTCTAATCGGAAATGTAAGCATATTATATCGGTTGATAAATGTGACATGTTGGAACACGAATGACTAAAAATTGGCATAAACTTTCCAGATAACCCAATATATATTACTTCAAATGTTATTTTTAGTAGATGCTCCATTTATTTATTTCATCTACTGGCCTGCATACTCAAGAAAACTTTTTATTATTTTTACTTAAGTATACAGGCCAGTAAATGAAATAAATACTGTTTAAAATAAAGTGTCTACTCAAATACAGGTATCCACTAAAAATAATCTTTGAAATAATAAAAATATGTCTGATTAAAAAATAAAATTTATTAATTCTTCACACACACACTTGTAATATGTGTATATTTACTTTGTAATTCATAATCATATTTAAATATTAAAATTTTAATTAGATATGTAGGTAAATCAATTAGTCTACAGCCAATTCAGTGTCGTATATTAATCAGTTATATTGAACATTATAGTGAAAATTTATTGTAAACAAAAAAACAAAAGTCAACTGTTGTGACAAGCTGTGAATTTATTGATATACTCTCATATTGTAAGAGAGTTTTAATATGATTTTATTCAAGTGAAAAATCAATTTTTATCAATTGATTTTTTTTTTTTTTCAGGAAAAAGAAAGAAAAATCCAGTATGTTAAAATAAGTGGGGGAGGGTGACACTCCCAAATAAGAGACAAGAGTTTTAAACTCTTTTCTGCTATTTTTTTCAATACAATTTTTTGCATTTTTTTCACATACTAAAAATGTTTTAATTTTGTTTTTACTTATATAAATAAAGAATGTGCCAGTAGTGTAACAGTCATCAGCATGGAAAGTAGAATTGAGGAGCCAAATTCAAGCAATATGATATGTTCACTTCTGTACAAATGCCCTTGAAAAAAAAGGCATGAATCCATCTCTTCTCCTCCTCCCCAGCTATAGGTTAAATAGCTGGAGAGACTGGGCTATCAAGCCTTGCTTGGCAGCCAGTCTAGGACTATAAATTCAAAACCATTGAGAAATCAATAAGAAACCACACTATCTTTCCCAAGAAGTCATGGCAATACAAAGATAATAAAAAAACATCTGTGGTGAGGTATGATTGCCCTTGTCCTGAATGGATGTGACATTTAAAAAAAAAAAAAAATTAATCATTCTTGTATTATATCTCCCAAGCAATATAAAAACTTAAAAATGTTTGAACTGATTCAGCTAGTTCCAAATAAACTCACTGTTATAGAAAGTTGCTGGTAGAAACATATGAGAAAGTGCTGAAAAGTTTGCAGATTGACCTATTTCCCAAAAATCAGTATTTTAATGACTAAACACCTGAATACTGATTTTGTGAAGTGGGCTGGGCCAAGAACTTTTCAGCACTCTCTTCTGTAATCTTTCCAAGTCAGTTTCCAAGATGAAAGTAAATCTAAATAGTAGAAAACTACTGTTGAGGAGTAAATTTCAATTTAACTTTTAATATCAACATTGGGGATTTTTCTTGTTAGACAAGCAATTTCAAAAGTATAAACAAATTTCAAACCATTTCAATTTTCAAAAAATATAACTTGTGTCATAAAAGTAATCTAAAAAGCAAAATGCTTTCATTTTTGGTCACTTTAATCTCTTCTTTTTCATGTAGGATAACAAACAGACTAAGTTGTTGCCACTCATCTGGGAAGAGAAGAAGAATTATAATAATGATGGCTGGCTTCTCATTTTCTGAATTATGCCTAACTGTTAGAGTGACTAGCTATTCCCTGTTGCTGACACCTGCACAGGCATATTTATATTTCTTCACTACTCATGCAGCCAACCTGTAGTTTATACTGCAACTAAGCTGCGCAGATCTCAGTTACAGTTTCTAGGAGAGAAATAATCTGGTGTGATCAGTAGTTGAACAAAGCCAGTATGCTCAAACTCTCAGTCATGATGACTTGGGAGGCTTGGGTCAACCTGTAGTATGGTTTACAGGCATTTCCCAACAGTATTACATGCTGAGATTATCTCCCCAGGTAGATATTATCAAGAAGTCACCTCTTTGACAAATGTTAAGATTTGAACTCAGGTCTCATGGTTGGAATGTTAATATTCTGACTACTCAGCCATGTGCTCAGTGAGAGTAGGATTATAAAATTAAAATTTTTGGTTCCCCAAATCAGTACTTTAATTTATACATATCACTAATCCCCAGATATGTTGATAAATGAAAAGAAGGTGAAATGACCACTCCCATCTCCAAATATGGTGATAAATGAAAAGGTGAAATGACCACTCCCATCTCCAAATATGGTGATAAATGAAAAGGTGAAATGACCACTCCCATCTCCAAATATGGTGATAAATGAAAAGGTGAAATGACCACTCCCATCTCCAAATATGGTGATAAATGAAAAGGTGAAATGACCACTCCCATCGCCAAATATGGTGATAAATGAAAAGGTGAAATGACCATTCCCATCGCCAAATATGGTGATAGATAAGAAAATGAAATCAAACTAGCCAATAATGTCCAAATCCTAGCAATGAACATTATTCTACAATTTGCACAAAACTTAAGGAAAAATTTAAAGCAGAAACTGGTATAAAAAAAAACCAAACAAACAAAAAAAAAAGCAACTAACTGCAATGATTTTCTGGCAAACTTTTAAACTGTTGGACAAAATGGCCAGAGCTCCAGCAGCTGCTTTGGCAGTTGGCTTGTCTTCATCTGCACAAAAGAGCAGCAACATCTTCACCCTGTCATTCTCTTTCTCAAAGAGCTTTTTGGCCTGCAAAAAAAATAAAATAAATAAATAAATAAAAATAATAAAATTCACTCAAATTTGTTTAACAAATTCAAATAAAGAAAATTTTAGAGGAAGGGAGTTTATATTCTTTTTTATTTGAGAAAAAATTGTAAATATATAAATATAATGGCACTGTAGTTTGTCAGTAATGGCACTGTACTGTTTGTCATTAACTTTCGACTACTGACAAACTTTTCTTGATTTAACTGTGTACTAAAACTTGCTATAAAATAGGTAAAAATTATAGGCTAAAAAAAATTGTTTAATCACCGATTTCTTAGGTCCACTACAGGGAATATATAGTTTGTGAATAGAGAAAATGATTAATACTAAACAAGTGAGAGATGTCAGTAGATGGCAAAATGCTGAAATCTTGCCTACAAATACTGAATTCAAATTCATTTGTTATTCAACTAAGTTTTCTCTTACTCTAGATGTAATTGTTACGAAGAATTAAGTTTTAGACGTTTGTTTAATATATCCTGCCAGTGATATCATGGATTTCATTAATGGTTTATAATTTCATAATGAAGTTTCTATTTGGCTTTGTCAAGCAGAGAAAATTTACTAAGAGTGTTAAGGTGGAACAAGACAAAAGCAAAAAGATGTGAACACAAAACTAAATAGTACAATTTACTTTTGCATTGACACAACTTTTCTATTTTCACAAAAGCATAATAAATGGGACAATCAATTTGTGACAAAACTGCAAAAGAAAATGACTGACTAGTGTTTTTCTTTTGAATGTAAGAAAATAGCAGTTGCAAATTTTGGGAATGTAATAATGAAAATGAATAAAACCTCGACAAGTCAAACTGCTTCTAGAATTCTATAGCTCGTGGATGGTACATTTCTAAACTTGGAAATTAAAAGAGTCTACCTAAAGAGAAAAAGAAAAATCACCTCAATTTTCTTCTTTTTGTATTTCAATTATTGATTCACTTTCACCTTCAGGAAATATGAATATCATTTAATTATTTCTAAAGATGTCCTTCATAAAATAGTTCATTCATATCACATATCAATTCATTCAGTTGTGTCATATAAAAAAAAATCTCAATAAACGTGTTTACTTGGGAATTAAATTCTGATTTACTATGTTTGTTAATCAACTAAAATTCTATTTTGAATTTTATTAGATGAAATGTAAATTATTACTCATTTTGGACTCATTTCTTTTTCATCTTAATTTTTTTTATCACAACTTTCAGACCACATTTCTTTGATTGTTAGTGAATGATACAGATCTGAAATAATGAAATAAATTTCCAATCTGTTCTGTTTATAAATAATGAGATTTTAAATTACAAAAAAAATAAAATAAAAAAAAAATAATAAATAACTGATTCTATTATTAAAAAACACTTCTTTTTTTAATAGTAAATGCAATTTTTAATAAGATCTGTATTCTGATCCTTTCTGTTATTATATTTTTAATCTCCCTTGTTTTTATGCTGTTAAAGGTATATTTTGTTCTAATTTTAAAACTAGGCTATTTTTATAATTTTAGCTTATTTGGAGGGCAAAGTTTAACTTTCATGCCCACAAAAAAACGGTATGTCAAAAGGACAGATATTCCCTTGACACTGGATACACTTGTGACTCCTTCAGCAAAGTTTATTGATTTAAAGATTGATGATTAGAATTTTAATAAAACCCAAACATGAAAGTGGATTTATACATTTTCTTTATTCTTGAGATATTAAACACTATTAGATTGAATAAAAATCTTGCCAATGCAATATTTATTATATACCATTTTATAAATAACTATTTATTTATAAAATGGTAAATAACAGATATTGCATTGGCTTACATAGTTTGATAATTTTATATTTTTTATAATTTTTTTAAAATAAAAAAGGTTTCTTTTCAAATTTATTTCTTTATAAAATAGTAAATAATAAATCTTTATAAAATGGTGAATATGTATTGCATTGTATTTGGCTCACATATTTTTGTAATTTTATAGATAAACATTGTCATAAGAATATAAAGTAACAGTGGTAAGAAAATAACTGTCCTTTAATACCATTTTTTATGGTACAAAGGTTAAAATTCTATCTTTTTAAACTTGATTGCAAGCTAAAAGTCTTAATGAAAATAAAAGAAATAATTAAAATTTTTTAAAAAAATAACGAAGTCTTTTTACATTAAAAAATTCAAATCGCTTTTTAATCTTGACAATTCTAAGTTTTCTACTGAAATAACAAATTGTCCAGGCTTTATGATAGCAAGACTTAAATTTTTGCAAAACACTTACATCTTCACACATGGCCAGGTTACACATGCATTCAGTAGCAGCACGTCGAATCATTTCATGGTCTTCAAACATATAATGCTCAATATCATTAAAACCATTTTCGGATATGATTCGTTTACTGAAAAGAATAAAATGCAATTAGAATGTTTATATAACAATTTTAAAGTTATTGTTTAGCAAGTATTTATACCACTTTAGAAATTATAAAAACAGTTACTTTTTTGTTTTGTTGTTTTACAGTTTCACAAGTTCACTTGAGATACTATAAAGTGAGCAAGAAAGCATACAAATCTTTTCAGTATTTGAATATACTTCAAATAAATTGGTGATCTAAAAACAGAATATCAACTGAATTCTTTTTTCTACCAATATTGTCTTTGGATTGGTAATATTTGCTTGCAATATATAACTATTATGACTGAGAAAAGTAGTTTTCTTTAGCAACATAAATTTTCATACAGAATTTGTTCATACATTTTATGAGAATATTTTATGTTAAATATCTGAAGAACAAAAATAAAATGACCTTGTTAGAAATCATTCAACTACTTGTAAGAGACCTGCAGTTAGATGAATACACATATTTTTATATACCTTTCAAATACTAAAATCATTTCTCATGCAAAAGTTACAAGCTGAAAAGCTTTCCACATTTACATTAAAAACTGGAATAAATCTTTATCTTTTATGAAATCTTTATTGAACACCAACAAAAAATATTTAAGAGTAAAATATAAATTAAGAATAAATTAGCATTTTTATCATAGAAACAAAGTAAAAGCAAAAATACTTAAAAGAGGCAATTCCATATCAAGTAATTTGATAATGTATGGATATAAAATTTTAAGAATAAAAGTAAGCAGAAACTGGTGGTGGATTCAGAATTCTAACATAGATGAGATAAGGGAAACACCAAAGCTGGACCAGTTACTTAAAATGCTAGTGTGGGTTCAATCTTATGGCTGGTTACTTTAAAGTTATACTTATTTACAAAAACTCTGCACATGTTCATCAACAAAGCAATCAAACTGTAGCAAATTAATTTATTTCAAAAGCCTTAAAAAGGAAGATGGAACCATTTGGAAAAAACAAAGTAAGACTAACAGTAAATGTTGGTAGATCTAAAATGTTGAAAATTCAGAAGAAAAAGAAATAATAGTGACCTTATTTATTATTATTATTATTAATAGTATACTATTTAACATGACTCTAAAACATGTAACAAAACATATAAGAAAGAATATCTTTTGAAACAAATCTCAAATTAAAATTAACAGTAAATATTAATTTTAAACAAATATTTATATGCTACAAAAATTGTTGCAACAATACATTTTTTTTAATCAATTCACCCCAAGCAAGGTAATAATGCCACTAAGATGCAAGAACTACAGGAATTGAAAGAGAACGAAAAAGACATTAGAAGGAACCAGAAACCAAATCCTAAATAGGAATCAAGGGATAGACTTTTAATCCTATTCAAAAGACTGGGGAGAAGTATGAACCAAACAATAGGCAAAATTGTCTACTCCCACTGAGGAAAGAAAAACAATAGTAAATAAAATTTCAGTATTTAAGCAGAAATGTTAAAAGTATAGAGTTGAAGTAGTTATAAATTTATTATCATTCCAAGAATTAAAAATAATATAACTATACCAAATTTTAGCAGGACTGATTATGAATCTAGTGAAGGCTACAAATAGGAAGCAAACAATATTTGTATCTCAAATTATAAAATCTAATATCCTGTGTTAATATCAGTATCAATCTGTTAGCTTAAATTTACTTTGTTAAATAATGATATCATGAAAATGCTAATTTTAAATGTTGAAATATAAGAAACAAGAAATTGGCTAATCTTACCGGACTGAATCACTAACTGAAGCAAGATTGGTCAGACCCATTAAAGCTTCAAAATTCTGGAGTCCAGTTTTCTCAATGTGGAGCAGGTGGATGAGCGGACGTACAATCTCATACATCTAAAGAAACAAGAAAAAAGAAAATTTTCAATGTAATTTTGGAGAGAAAAAAAAAAAAAAAAAAAGATAAAAATTGAACCTACATTCCAGTAATTATGCTCTCAGTGTTTTGCTAATCAATTTACAAAGAGTCATTGATTGTCTAAATAAATTTAATTTAGATCTTTCTTGCTTGTTTCCATGGTGATAATTTTCACATATAATCATTAAGTGATTAGTTCCTTCTAACACTAGAAACTCACAAACTAGTAAACATCTGAGGCTTTTTCATTTCCAGAGCATCAATTATACAGAGATTATTCAATAACATAAAAGGCGATGCTGAAAATAATTAGTTCAACAAAGAGAATTGAAAATACTGATTTTTTTTTTTATCAGTTTAGAACTGCAGTTCCTTTTTATTATATAATTTAAAATCAAATCCCTTATTTTTTATTTATTTTTTTTTTAAGAAAGTTATTGATTTAGCTGTTATTTACAAATATCAAGTTTGAAATTGCTTACATCACCGATATCACATATTTATTTTTCTTTTTAATTTAAAATATTTTTTTAAAAAAACGGAGGTGGGGGATTTTTTCAGAAGCACACACACAAATAATGGTGGATGATAATTATTTATCATTTATTAATTTATTCAAATTTCTCTTCTTTAATTAAACATGTATATATTCATTCATTTGGAAGAAATCTTGTATATATAAAAAGAAAAGAAATGCTGTTATGTGTATGAAAATAACTAAGCCCAGATAACTGTTTAAAGTCAGAAATCAATTTCACACTATCAATATTATGAACAAGACACTTTCCTATTATAATTAAAAAAAGAACAAAAACAAACAATATTTTTTAATTCTAACAAAAGTTGCACCTTGAAGATCTAATAAAGGTTAATCTACAAAAATGATTTCCCTCCCCAATTTTTTACGAGTGGGGCAGTTTACAGTGTTGTTTTTTTCCATTTATCTTTTAATATGGAGGTTATATTTTTTTCTTTAGGTTTGCATGTAGTGAAAAATATTCTTAAAAAATTTCTACCTATCATCTTTCAAATTGTGTTTTGCAATTTAAAAAATTATAATATATATATATATATATATATACACACACAGATTTAGAATTGTAATTAATAGTTGTTATTCTTTTATTCTCCAGTAAATATGTTTCAATTTTTTGCTTTGAAAGGGTGTGAGATGATAATCTACGACATATATTAAATATAATTAATCTCATTACACTATTTTTACTGGCAAATATCAAATTTATTTTTTATTAATATAATAAGAAGAAAGTTTGAATGAAATAAAGGGGAAAAAAAAAATCTATTTACTCTTTGGCCAGGAAAAGCAATATCAGGATTCATAGTCACAGCAATTTTAGCTAAACTGTGAGCAGCACATGTTTTTCCTACATCAGAGTTTTCTAAAAACAATGAACACAAAGCCTGAAATCAGAGAAAAGAAATGATTACAGCAAAAAAATTTGGACATGTTTTTTAATGGATAAAAAAAAAAAAAATATAATAAATAAAATTTTAAAAAGAATCAGCAAATTCATTTTTATTAATATTGACACTTAAATTATCATACTATATCATGTTTGTAAGCAAATGCATCCTTTTCATTTCTATTCAAATAAGTGAAGCATTTTCTTGATCTTAATTAACTTCTAGTGTTATAGATAAGAATTTCATAATTTGTTCTGACAGACATTAATTCTGCTAATATTTTCTTATTGTCATCTTTTACAGTTTTTAGAATATTTCATAAAAAGCTGATGCACATTTGTTCCACTTCATTTATTTGTATTCTGATCAACAATAAGATAAAAAGAAAAAAACAGTCCAAATAAAGAACTTTGCATTTTAGCATAGGTGGCAGCTGTTTGTTGGACTAGGCTGTCTCTCAAGAGATATATATATATATATATATATATATATATATATATATATATATATATAAATAATATATATATATATATTTACAAACAACAAATACAAAATATCAGATGTAGGTTATCTAATTTCACTAATATAATGAACAGTCACAATGGAATATGAGAAAATGTTAGTAATATAAACAAGGATTATATATATATATATATAATAAAATATATGAAGGTGAGTCAAAAAGTAATGCAATTTGTTTTATTATATAAGAAATAAGGAACACAAGCATATCATACATCAAGATATATATGTCACAGGTTCACATTCTCAACATTGTCACCACCTCTTTCAATGGCAAGGTTCCACCTTCAAACAAGGGAATGTATTCCCAGCTTCATATAACTCAGCTGGCTGCTGCTGATGTAGCCAATTCCTTACAGCAATTTTTTACTTCTTCATCCCCACCATAACATTTGCCACTCAATGCTTCTTTCATTGAAGCAAAAAGACAGAAGTCTGAGGGTGCTAGGTAGTTTAAGGTATGCTATATTTATGGAGCACAAGTGCTCAATATCTAGAGTGAGTGTGTGTATGACATGTAGATACTGATGTCAAAACCGAATGACAGTCTGTAACATACTTGAACATAATCTTCAGACCATCACAAAAAAATTCAATTACTCACATGTTTTGGAATCCAAAAAATGTGAGTAATTGAAATTTTTTGTGAAATCACCCCCTCCTGGTATTTAAATTAAACAGAATCCACAATAGTGTTGATTTCAACTGATTTAATAAATACAGAATTTGAATTCATGAACTCTAACCGGGTCATATATTTCATTTCAGCCTTTGGCAGGAACTATCTTTAACTTCCACTCATACTAGGGGGGATTGGACACCTTGACTTGATGTAATGGTTAGCAAGCTTGTCTCGCTAGAATAATTACAAGTGTGTTTGATCCTCACAAGATACACCATACTTTCGGTCTTGTGCCACATTTAAGCCAAGCTTAGGAAATCACCATACTAGGGTGAGTTTTCAACTAGGTTTAATTAATTGAGCATTATTTATTAGGTTGGTGCAAAAATAATGACGTAATAATGTCGTTTTTGACATATTTTTTAAGGTAAAAAATGACATTATTACGTCATTATTTTTGCACCAACCTAATAAATTGGAAAATGAAAGGACAAAATCTACAGATTATGTAGAAATAAATTCACAATTTTTATCTTATCAATTTATATTTTTAATATATCTTCTTGAATATAAATTGTAGAAACTGTTTTTTTAATCCCTGTTATTTTGCACAAATAACAATATGTTAGAAAGTATAATCTGAATAACAAGCAAACAAATTTTCTTTAGGAAAAAAGCATTTTTGTCAACTTTTTTCCTTATTCCTTTTGTATTCTAAAAAGTACAACAGATTATGTAATAAGTGTAACTGCAAATGACAATACAAAATATCAGATATAGGTTATCTAACTTCACTAACATAATGAACAGTCATAGTGGAATATGAGAAAATGTTAGTAAGAAAAACAAGGATGCTATATATATATATATATATATATATATATATATATATATATTTCTGCATACTTGTAACCACTACTTTTAAATTTTTTTTATATATATATGTTTAAAAAAGAAAAAGAAAAGAAAGGCATACTTTAGCACCACCTCCTTGTACAATCAATCCCCGCAATTCTTCTTCTGTGGCCAAGGCAATAAATATTCTGTAAAGAATTTAAAGAATTTCATATTTATGAATAAAAGCAAATAAATTCAGTATGTATTTCAATGCCTCATCATTACATAATACCATGCATTAAAAAAGAAGTTTCAATTTTTCTAGAAGATTGATGTTCTCCAAAATTATCTTTAATTGTTTTTACCTGGAAATTTGTTCCCGACTGTTTTCACTCTCTGTCCTAGAGAGTTCCACCAATGCTGTTACCATGCCTTCCTCAGCTAATTTTTTTGTACGAGCCTTGACAAAATCATATTTATCCTAAAATATAAATTTTTTCTGTATTAGTAAATATCCAACAAGGGATAATTTTTTTTTTCTTGGTTGGAAAATAAAAACCAATATCTATTTACCAATATCATAGCTTGAGACAAAAAAAAGTTGTAATTCTAAAAACTTGTGCACTAGAATAATTGATTTTAAATTGAATACTTTAAAATCACTGAAATCAAAGCCAATAATATAGTAATATTTCATTTATACGTTAATTCTCATTGACATAATTTATATCAATATTATCCTCCTCCAAACCAGCTGAAACAGCCCAAGGATGGGGATTGACATTCAACTCCTCAAAAAATAAAATTAGTAATGTTCCATCATCACTGTGCAGACCTTGAATTTTTTACCATCATGATGAAAGATTTGTTATCTCAAGGAGCCTATTTGCTTGAACGTCTATTCGAACTAAAGCTCACCCCAGGCTTCAAGTGGAATTCATCTTTACAATTTACCACTAAAGATGATGGAAACCTTGGCAGTTCCTTGTACTGCTCAAGTAACTACCTAACTCCTCCTGGTTTACAAGAGATCAGCTCAAAAAGGGAATACTGCTGGTATATCTGGGCTGGAGCTGCCCAATCCTAAATTGCTAGGTTTGACAGGGTTCAAAAAAAGTCTCTACATGATTAATTATTTGCCACCCTACAAACCCTTCCCCACAGACAAAAGGTCACAAACCATTACATATCACGATTTCCAAGGCAAAAAGTCTGACAAGTTATTCTTTAGCTCCACCAGTTCTGACCTTCACAGCTAAGACTCACCATGTCACATACACTGGGATAAATCATTCCCTTCATATTCCAATAGTAAGGAGGAAGTTTCACTCACAAATCTTTTCCCAAAGAACCGCTAATTTGTGAAACCAACTCCCAAGAGGATGTTTTCCCCCCACACTATCACTACAATCCTAACCTCCCCAAATCTAGGATTAGCTGTTATCTTTCCGATATAACCTCATAAACTGAACTTCTTACCTCTTCCATTCATACAACCTCATTCAGTAACCCTCTACTCTGAGTGGCTCTTGGGTGAACATTATTAAAAAAAAAAAAAAAAAAAAATCTCATTTACATTAATTTATATCAATATTTTCATTTATATGATAATTATCATTTTAATTTAACCAGATTGCTAGCTTAGCTTAGCGTGTGTGTGTGTGTGTGTGTGTGTGTGTGTGTATATATATATATATATATATATATATATAATAAATGCGAATGTCAGTCTGACCTTTACTCCTAAATGCTGTAGCCCAACATATCATACCATTTTGGAATCAGGACAACACTGTGAGCAAATCAAAAACATTCCAGGTTGAATTTGGACCTGCAATCCTAAAATTTTGGATTCCCAAGTTTTTATTACTGTGATTGTTTTTGGCGATTTTTTTCTACAATAACAATTTTTATAACTTTGAAATAAATTTGGGAATAATCGAAAGTCACCCATAAAATAAAAATAATTGTTTGTATGAAAATTAAGGACCTACATATCAGATCAACCCATAAGTTCTGTCCGAATTTTGAATAAAGAAAACAAGTGACCAAATGTTACATTGAATCACAGATTCAAACAACAATGTATTTTCCCTGATTATCTATGACTTCCTTCCATTTATTAACAAGCTTACTAATTCCATTACTGTAAAATTCTTTTGACTTTGATTCGAAGAACTCACAAATGTCAGTTTTAACCTCTTCCTGTGTTACAAAAGCTGTTTCTTCCAAATGATTCTATAAGCTATGAAACAAATGGTAGTCTGAAAGAGCAAGATCAGGAGAATAAGGTGGATGAGGAATTTTCTCCCAACCAAGTTCTTCATTCTTTTGTGACGTGATTCTTGCTGTATGGGGTCGCACATTGTCCTGATGAAACATCACCTCTTTTTGATTCACTAGAGCAGGTCTTTTTTCCTCAAAGCTTGGTTCAAACGCTCTAATTGCTGACAGTATATTTGAGCATTAATTGTTGCATTAGGTGGTAAGAATTCAAAGTGGATTATTCCTTGACGATCCCACCAGATTGAAAGAAGAACCTTTTGCCCATGAAGTTTCCTTCTCGGGTCCTTCCCCTTTACCAAGCCACTTTCTCTGACGCTTAACATTTCCCGATAAAAGATCCATTTTTCGTCGCCAGTCACAAGTCTATCCAAAAAAAAGTGAAACAAGTTGGCGAGAATGGAGAAGAGCAGATGTCAACTCAAGATTTGAGGTTGTTTTTCAGACAATTCATAGAGGCACTCATTTTCTAAGTTTAGGAACTTTTTCAAGTTGTTGAAGATGACGATGAACAGTTTTATGGTTTGAACTGAGAACCACTGCCAATTCCTCAACTGATAAAGCAGGATTTTCTTCAAGGGCTGCTTCAAGAAACTTTTCATCAAACTCAACTGGACGTCCAGTTTGATCTTCATCTTCAAGGGTGAAATCTCCACCTCTGAATTTTGCAAACCATCTTCTACAAGTTCTTTCATTCACACATTCCTCTTCATAAACTGAGTGAATGTTTCTAGCCACTTTGGCTGCCGAGTTTCCTTTCTTGAACTCAAAGCATTATGTGCCTCAAATGATTCTTGGATACTTCCATGTTAGCAGGGTTTTAATTAAACAAAATTTAATTTTATTGTTCTCGGAAATAAAATTTGATCAGTTTAAAGGCATCTAAATATAAAAATAATGTTCAGCTCCATTAGACATTATAAAATACTCTTTAAATTTTGTTCATTTTAACAAAAAGTTAAAATTTGGACAGAACTTATGGGATCACCTGATAGATCAAATTGTTTTTAAATTAAGTGTCAGCAGAAGAATTATCATTGAACTTTTAAACGGGAAGCCTAATATTAATGTAATACTTAAATGCAGTGATCAATTTTGAGTTCTTCTGTAGTTTATTGTTGCCTATCGCATCTACTCCTCATTACCTATTTTGATGAAGGCCCAATCAAGAGTCCTCTGCAGGAGCTAGCTTAAATGCTTAACTTTTGAGCTTATATATATATATATATATATATATATATATATATATATATATATATATATATATATATATATCTGTAAGAATGTGGATATTTTCAATAAAAGCAAACAAAAAAATTACACTTTAGCTTTTGCCAGAGAAATTTTTTTTTTCAAGGACTTATTTCTATTTTCTGTCAGCATCATAAACACAAATGCAATAAACAAATTTTTTAAAAAAACTTCTAGACATCAGAGTTTTATTTTCTCTGATCCAATTTCATCATCCAACACAAACTGGATCTTAATTACTTTATTATGAAATGGACAAAGTCCGACAATTATTTTAAGACATTTTTATGTTTATACATTTTTTTTTTTTTTTTTTAAATTGATTCACCCCAAGCAAGGCGGGAAACCACTAGTACGCAAGGGGTTACAGAAGATTTGGAGCGAGAGCAGATAGGATTGATAGAGGAAAGGATGAGGAGAAGGATAGTGAATAGATCAAGTCAACTGGAGATGTCAATTGACATTACATTTGAATAGTTGGAGATTATAGCTGTCATGGAAACAGGAATAGGGAAGGGAGTTCCACAGGCGAGAGGTGCAAGATATGAAGCTATTGGAGTAGAAGAAGCGGCTACATTTAACAGTTTCAACAGTGAAAGGGTCAGAGCGGGATGCCAGCCTCGTAGGGCGCTTGAATTCATGAAGTCTGGGAACCAGCGCAAGTAGCTCATCAGAGCAATTTCCATGAAAGTATCTGTAAAAAAGACAGAGAGAGGCGACGGTGCATCTGTGAGAGAGTGACTGCAAACGAGATGCCAGATCAGGGCCAATTAAATTGCATATCTGTCTCTGGATCTTATCAAACAGAAGGGGCTCCAGACCATATATGGCAGCAATACTCCATGCAAGGGCGAATGGTTGATTTGAAGGATCAATTCCAGGGAGAAAAATTTCCTGGTGTGGCACAGGGAGCCAACTTTCCTTGCGGTGGACGAAACAATTGACTCAATGTATTTGGTCCATCTCGGGTCAGTAGTCAACGTGAGACCGAGCAGCCGCAGAGAGGTGCTCTCGAGAAGTTGAGCGTCAGACATTCTAATGGGGGGCAGGGAAGAATAGATTAATAGAGAGCAGTTTTGTTGTTGAGCCGTTAAAGTTAACCAGCCAATTCCAATTCAGTTCACAATCGATGGGAGGTCCTTTTTGAGACAAACAGCCAGGTTAGTTTTGTCAGCGACACTAGATTTGTTTTTTAGGCAGGAGTAAATTGTAGTATTGTCCACATAGATGCCAACTTAGGAATCTATGGCATCAGGAAGATCGTTGATGAAGATAAGGAACAGAGTGGGACCAAGCATGGAGCCTTGAGGAACACCTGCATTCGTGGGATAGGAGTTGGAAGAGAATCTGTTGAGAACTACCTTCAATTCACGGTTTGATAGGAATGATTGTATTAGGTCAAACGATTGACCTGTAATACCATAACCCTGGAGCTTGCAAAGAAGGCCAGCATGCCAGACCCTATCAAACACTTTGAAGATGTCTAGGGCCACGACACAAGCTTCTCCGTTATTTTGAAGAGCTTGTTAGACAATTTTGGTGATGGCTGTTAGCACATCAGCTGTAGATCAGGCCAAGCGGAAACCGTATTGCTTGTCTGAGAGCCGATCATAGGACATAAGGTGGGTAACCACCTCGGCATTAATTAGGGCTTTGAAGACTTTGCTAAAGAGGGGTAGGAGACTGATAGGACGGTAATTAGAAGGGTCACCAGAGTTCTTAAAGACAAAAACAATCGATGAAGATTTCCAGTAGTCTGGAAAACAAGTTTCTTTGAGGCAGTAGTTATATAATTTGGAGAGGATAGGCACCAGTTCAGTCGCACATTTCTTCAAGACAATAGCTGGTATTCCATCTCCTCCACTAGCCTTGTGGGGGTCTAAGTTAGAGATAATCCCAATACCAATGACGAGGTTATGTGCAACCCACTCAATAGGGCCTCAGTTCTAAGAGGGAAATCGGGTATGGGTACACTGGAAGAGTCGAGCGTTGAATTGGATGAAAATTTCCAAGCAAAGCATTCAGCCTTGTTGGCAGAGGAGGTCAGGACCTCAAATTGGTTGAACAAAGGAGGTATAGAGGGATTGTTATTGTTCAGTACGCTCTTGCAGAGACGCCAATAATCCTTGGAGCCAAATTTGTGAGATGCAATGTGTTCCTTCATCCGAGCAGCAAATAGTGACTTAGCTTCGTTGAGGACACACTTACACTTGTTACGGGTGGAGACAAAGAGACGTTTATTGCAGTCGGACATGTCACTACGAAATAGGTGGAAGAAGTGGTTCCTATGGGCAATGGCAGCTGAGCAAGCAGTGGAGAACCACAGGGAGGAGCGCGATTTGACCCTAAAATTCCCTGAGGGGACGAAAGTGTCCATTCCAGCTTTAACCCAGGATTTGACCTCAGAAGCACATTCTTGAATGGGGAGCATAAAGACAACATCCCAGGGGGACATCGCGGAGGAAATCACGAAATGAGTCCCAGTTGGCTCGTTGATAGCAGAATGATGTTCTAGTGGTAGGAGGTTCTTTGTAGGGGGTGGAGTTGAAGGAGATGTTAACAGATACTACCGCATGATCAGAGTTACCAAGAGAGCAGAGTTGCGTGGCGCTGCAGGACTCGGGGATGGAGGTAAAACACAGATCGAGAAGAGAGGCTTTACCTTCCTGGTTGAAGGCAAAACGAGTGGGGAAGTTAACTATATATATATTATACTTTGTATTGAGCAATTTTTTTAAAAGTAAATGCTACGAACTGTGGATTTTTAGTCGAAGTTACCAAGAGGGCAGAGCTGCATGTCGCTACAAGACTTGAGGATGGAGGTAAAACACAGATCAAGGAGAGAGGCCTTACTGTCCCGGTTGTAGACAAAACGCATGGGGGAAGTCAACTATCTGCATGATGGATTGAGAAACTGAAAAATTAAGTGTTTGAATACCTGCGAGGTCAGTAGTAGCATTCTTAAGCCACTTGGTATGATGGGCGTTAAAATCGCCAAACACAAATATGTGAGCGAACGAATGGGGAGAGAGAGAGAGCCTTGTCTATGCTGTCAGAAATGCTATCGAGTATCCCACAGTCTTGACAGGATGGAGAGCGATAAAGGAAGAAGAGTTAGCTTACAGCATTGAGAAGAGAAAGCCGGAGACACATGTATGAATGGTCTGGCGATTCGAGAGACAGCTCTTTAGCCAGAGAGAAATGGTCCTTGACGTAGACACCAAGGTCATGCATGTGGGTTTGAGAGTCTTTTCTGAGGAGAGGAAGGTAGCCAGGGATCAAGAGATCAGAGGAGGGGATAGACGAGTCAAGGTTGGTCTCACACAGAGCCAGTATATCCGGGCAGTTTGCTGTGAGGAAAGATTCCATACTGCAGGAATTGGTTCTAATGCCACGGATGTTGGAGAACGAAATGTTGAGGGGTTTAGGTGATTTTTGAAGGGCTGGTTTAGGTTTACTTTTTTGATCTTTGTAAGTCATCATGTGGAATTATGGTTGGAAGATGAGAAGGCCTGAAGTAAAAGAAGCAGACGGTTATCGACCGTGACATGGGCAGAGCGAATTTGGCACAGCTTGCATCATAATGTGGCCTCAGGGTTGCCCACTGAAGGTGACTGCAGGGACACCTTTCCATGCCCAACATGGCACTACAGACACCCCGGTATTATACAACTGTTGATCAGAGTGGCCACTCAAGACGCTATGTAAGAGTTAGGGCTCCTAACTACCAGTCGGAAACAGCAACCAGGGAACTGTCAACCATGTACCCTCAGAATGAAAAGGTAATGCCACAGACTGCACACATCACGGGAGAAACGCAGCAGCACTAGTACAGAGGCCAGAAAGAGAGAGAGAGAGAGAGAGTTCCGGGAACCCCTTCCTAAACAAGAAACAAGGTGTGAGCCTCTACTCATGTCTAAGAGAAGGGGGAGGAGTGTTGACTGGGCAGTAGGAAGGCCTACCTATTTTTTATAGATACAAATATTTAAATAAATGCTCCGTTTTATAATAAACAGTATTAATAACATTTACCGGCCTGAATGTCCGAAAAATTTTCATAGAAAATACTCATTCTCCAACAGGAATCGAACCTGTATCCTATACGGAACCGTCATTTAGCCTGACGTGCCTTAACCAATCGAGCCACAGAGGATCATTCGATTAGCAAGGTCAATTTTACTGCTTTTAAACTTCAATATTCCATGAATCTCTCACATACATTCATATCTGCTCAAAGCGTATCCAAATGTAAACAAATGATGTCACACATTATGAAATGGACAAAGTCCGACAATTATTTTAAGACATTTTTATGTTTATACATTCTTTTTATAGATATAAATATTTAAGTAAATGCTCTGTTTTATAATAAACAGTATTAATAACATTTACCGGCCTGAATGTCCAAGAAATTTTCATAGAAAATGTTCATCCTCCAACAGGAATCAAACCTGTATCCTATACTTAAAAAAAATTGCATTGACAGTTATCTAACTTGTTTAGTTTTAGACAATGACAAACTATGTTAGCCCATTAATAAGTCTAATGATTAAAAAAAAAACAAAAAAAGAAAACATTAATTTTACACAATACTTATTTTTAGCATAATCTTCTTTGTCAATGCACATAATTCAATAGGTAATATTAATCACAAAGATCAAACATACATTGAAAATTTCAGATTAAAACAATATTAAATGATAATTCTGTGAGGCCACAGATGTACTGATCCATTCTCCATTTCCAGCATCATAAAACACAATTCATACTAAGAATAGGAAAATGAAAAATTACCTTTGGATGATCCTCTGGAACATGTTGTTTTGAAAATTTAGCTAATTCTTTAATTTCATCTGGCACATCTTGTTTGTCATAAGAGTTTGTAAGATTCACAAAGACTGTAATAGCAGCATATGTCGTAATTTTATCACTTGGGTACTGAGAAAAGAGAATATAAAATGAAAATAAAATACAAAGTCAGAAAATCAGAATACTGTTATATTTGGATTTATTTTTAACAATTTTGAACACTTATCAAATAAATATAAAGCCTGGTGTGCTGTCTAGTATGGAGGACTAAACTTGCAAACATGAAAAGGAGCTTCTTTCAAGAAACTTACTTCTGTTCTATTGTATGGCTAGTCAGCATGGACCATTACCTCAAAACTAGAAAGAAGATTGGATGGAGCCTACACCCACATGCTAAGAGTGGCTTTGAATGTCACTTGGAGAGATTGACCAATGAACAATTGTATGGCAACCTTCATTCAGTATCAAACATCATCAAAGAACAGAGTCAGATTCACAGGGCATTGCTGGAGAGCTAGACAAAATTGTTAATAAAGTTCTTTTGTGGTAGCCTACACAAGGAAAAGCTAGCAGAGGATGACATATATCAAGCAGATTTATGACTATATAAACTGCAATCCTTCTGACCTGTCGAATATGATGTACAATAGAATTGGATGGCAACAGAGAGTCATGGGAATCAGTGCAAACAGCGCAACTGGATGATGATGATGATTATAAATGGTAACATTTCTCTCTAAGTCAGCAAAATTATTTTTTTACTTAGCACATGTTGGATGATACCAATCAATAGAAATCAAAAGCTAGTGCTGAATTTTTGCGTTTTTTACTTTTAAATTTATTAACCAATTCATTCCAGTTTTATATTTCAGGCAATAAATGAGAGGAAGATATGAACTGGGTACCTGCAAATATCAAAACAATGGTCATATAACGAAAATCATTTTACTGCTTTTCACAAACAATTTAGACAGACACAAAGTATGATAATGAGTATCACTAACTAAGCTGCAGGAATGGAACTTTCACTTCTAACCTTAAAATCTTAATTATGAGTATGTATATATGTATGTATGTTAAGCCTGTAGATGCCTACCATAGTATAGGGCCACAAACTCCTTACATATTGCTGCTGTGGTTTCTGTAAGAAATAGGATTTTATAGTTACTAGTCCAACTGATTTTGGATTCAAAGTTGTCTTTCTCCTAGACTGGTTGCCAATCAAAGCTAAAGAACCCAGTCTGCTCTGTTATTAACCCCTAGTTGGGGGAAGAAGAGATGGCTTCAAGGAGATTTGTGTGAAATCAAATGCAATGGACTTGGGTGGAATTTGAACCTTTTTTTTTTTTTTTTTTTTACAATGATGTTCACCTTGTACAAGGCCTAAAAGTCACCCAAGGTAGAGGGTTACAGAGTAAGAGGCACAGATTATGGGGATATGTGGGGAAGATAATGGTTAAGCCTAGACTTAAACCAGTTAAGATTGTAGTCATCAGGGAAGTATCCTCTTGGAAGTCAGTTCCACAAAGTAGTTGCTTGAGTGGGATTTACATCTCACAAATAGAATACAAAGGGAATAGGGGTTGTCTGCTACAATGGTCTTAGCTGTAAAGATTAGAACTGGAGGAACTAAGGAATGTAGCTTGTCATGGAAATAGCAATAAAGCAGCAGGTGTCATGTAACATTTTCTGTGAGAAATGACTTGTAAAATGGAAAATAATTCATCACCCACAAGGACACTTAGACACTTTTGGAATCTTTCGAAATTGGCAAGTGAAGACTGGGTAGCTCCTGTCCATATCTGATAGCAGTACTTCATTTTCAGCCTGATCTGGCTCTTGTAAAGGTAGAGAAAAGCAGAAGTCAGGTACTTACTGAAGTGGTACCGGGAACAAACCATTTTTCCAGTATCTTTAGTGATGAATTGTATGTACAAAATCCACTTGAGATCTGGGTTGAATTTAAGTCTCAATAGGTGCCCAAGGCATGGGGCCTTCCTGAGAGAACACCTATTCATCGAGATGGGTGAAAATTCTGGGTCCACTTGGTGATGATTGAATGTCACTTGTTTGGTTTTTGAGGCATTGAATGTAACCAGCCAGTTTTTTTGTTCTCCCACAGAGCTAGGCCAGAGGAGAGATCAGCTGCCAAGCTCTGGTCATCTAGGGTTTTGGAGGTGCATCCATATACTATTGTATTGTCAGCATGGATATTCACAAATAATCAGAGTATACTGTTAGGCAGATCATCACACCAACCCCATTTTTTGCACCAACAACCACTACACTATGTGATTTACACATCTTTATTACTATGGATAACTGTATGATAAAAATTCACAAAGTCCAAATTTTCATGTATACACACACACACTCTTCATAAGATCTTCGCTTGACAGGAAAAGTCAGTTGATTTTATAGCAGTTGGTTGTACCTTTTACAGTTTTCTATTTATGGAGCATGGAAATGGATTAGCAATAATCCCCAACCTTTTTGTACCATGGACTAGTCACACACAAGACAATTTTTCCAAGGACGTAGGGTTGGGGAAGGATCAGTGTCAGTCATACCTATAACAAAACACAATCAAAACCATGATAGTCATTAAAAACGTTGTTATTCTTTCTGTGTGGCCCAGTAAAAAATGATCAACGGCCCGATGGTTGGGGACCATTGGGATTAGGATATTTTTCTATGCAATCCATTCCACTCAGTGACATTTGAATCATGATTGGTTAACAGAAGCTCATTTATATGAGCTCACTGACCTTATTCAGTGGAGAGGCATTTTTCTTTTTTCAGGAAAACCAGCATGTGACACAAAAGCATTTTGGTATTTTGAGGTATGTTGCCATTTTTTTTTAGTTAATTTTAAAAGTCATGTAAAAATTGATTCAAAACATTTTTATGTGTAAGGTTCAACTGCTGATCCTCTGATTCATAAAATAAAAAATCTGTTAAATCTTGACTTTAAAAAGACCTGTTTTTATGAAACTAGTGGCACTTTTTAGTATACAAGGTGGTATCAAAAAGTTCCCAGACTAGTTATGTTTAAAAAAGATATATATATATATATATATATATATATATATATATATATATATTTTACCAAATTTTAACATCATCTCCTTCAAAATAGTCACCTTGTACAGCAATACACTGACCTTAGAATTACTGCCACTTTTGGAAATGTCCTGGAAGCTGTTTACTGTAAGTGAGTCAAGGACCTTATGTGATTCACCCGGGATCTCAGCAACAGTGAAAAAACAGCAACCTTTGAGCTGCATTTTCAGCTTGGAGAAGAGATGTCAATCTGCAGGTGATAAATCTGGTAAATAGGGTGGGTTCAGAAGTGATATGTTGTTTTTGGTTAGAAACTCACAGGTGAAGAGGGCTTGGTGACAGGGTGCATTGTTGTCATGAAGAATCCAATTCTTCATATTTCACAGATCCAGTTGCTTTCACTGAACGTTCTCCCTCAAAACATTGCAGTAGAACTCTTGATTGACAGCCTGACACGGGGGGACAAAATTCTCAATGCACAATAGTGCGAATGTTGAAAAAAAAACAAAAAAAAACAAACAAACAATGTACATAACAAAATTCACAGACTACAGCATACACGTGATCACAAAAACACAAATTTCACAACTTGTGAAGTGAACACAGCAATGTCACTCAGCACACTGGTGAAAGGTCACTGCTAGCTCTCACTGTGTGTGCAACCATGTGTTGCCATCTGTTGGCACGCTACAGAATTAGTCTGAAAACTTTTTGATACCACCTCCTCGTACTTTGCACTTTTTTTTTTTTTTTAAATTTTTTAAATTTCACATCACTTCAGGATGTAGGTGATCACAAATCTCCACAGATTCTTTTATCTGTGAAATGCCAGTTCTTTGGAAAGACAGGCGTGGTTTCCAACTGCCTTCTCCACATTTTAATTCAGAGTAATCCTTCTCCTAAACTGGCTGCCACCCAAAAGAAGAGCACCCAGTTATTTAACCCATAGCTGAGGAGAAAAGAGACATATTCATGCTTTTTTCAAGAGAACTTGTACAAGAATGGATGCAACAGACTAGGCCAGAATTTGAACTGATCACTGATTCCCTTTTCTGCATCAATAGCCATCAAGCTACTTGCAAATCTACTATGTACATATCAAGCAGAAACAAGGGTTGCTGAATCTGATTGTTTTTTCTACATTTCCTAGTTTGCAAAATTTGACAACTGCATATCTCTACAATTCTTCGAAATTGCAAATTAGACTTTTACCTCTTGTAGCAAGTTATAGTATATGACACTAAGCTTACGTTAGCAAAAGTACTAAGAAAAAATAAAATTTGTAATGAAAGACAAAGGCAATCATAATACTTCCCATGTATCTCATCTCTACAAAATTATTGTAACAGAAACCATTTTCCTTACAAAATCCAATATGCTTAGATTTCCTTTCAACTGTGGAAAAAGTTAATTTAAAGCAAAAATGCAACTTTATGAATGTTCATAAATATCTGAGTCTCACCTTGGCCACTTCAACTAATGACTTTATGGCTTCAGTGTTTACCATGATTAATTCTTTGATATCTGCATCCAGTGTTAAATAAGCAAGACCTTCAGTAGCCCACTTCCAAAGATCTTTATCTTTGTCAGGATTTGTGAGATATCTGTATAAAGAAAATGGAAGAGATTTAGCTTTTCCTATCACTATAAAATACACAAAATGACTTTTTTTTTTTTTAGAATATTCAGTTGATAGTCTCTTAAAAATAGAAAATTTAAATTTTTATAAAACAAAAGCAAATGAAAAAAATAAACCATAAAAAAATAAACAGAAAATAAAAAACAAAGTCAAATTTTAACAATATCAGAAAATTACTCAGAAAAAAAGAAATCTTAATCCTTAATTCTCTTATAAAAATAAAACTTGTAGACAATCAAAAGAAAAGCCACAAAAAGTTCCATGATTGATTCATTTTTTATGGCTTATCAACCTTTTACAGGTTATTTAAAGACAGAAAATATTTTTAGATTGTAAGAAATTGGGGGGGGGGATAAAATGTGAATTGAAACTCAGCTCTCCGATTAACAATTCTGAGCCATTACCCATTACACCACCTGCACATCCAAGCTTACAGCACCTGGTATTCCCAAGTGATCACCTATCTAGGTAATAACCAGGTTCAATGTTGCTTAACTTCAGTGATTGTATGGGGACTGGTGTTTCAATGTGGTGTGACCGTAAGCAAAAAAAAAAAAAAAAATTGCAAATAATGTTAAAATTTTGATATGGGCAATGTCAGGTAACCTTAATTTTCCAATGAGTATTTTAAAATGTTTACTTTTAGTAAAAGAATCCACTGGTTGTCACTCAAGACTTTAAGGCTGCCTGTCCTGCTATTTTATCCATAGCTGAGGGAGAAGAAATGGATTCGTACCTTTCCCAAAGTTATAAGCACACAAGTGAATGTAATGAACTTGACTGAAATTCAAATTCGGCTCTCTGATTCCTCAATCCAAGCCACTAACCATTACTCCAACATGCCACTCTCTTTCATTATTAATGTGTACCAATTCCTAGGGGATGAGTTAATTACTTAATAACAGTAGAAAACTGATTGTCCATTTTATGTTCAGTAAAATTTTACAAGCAGTAATTCTTTAAACATATAAATATACTATGCTACCAAAAATGATTGCATATTTTGCTAAGTCCTTGCTATTATTAGAAGTTTTTTTTACATGTAAGTTTTTTAATATATTTTTTCCACTTATATTAATATGTAGTAAATTGGGGGGAGTCAGTTTATTACTTAGAAGCAATGAAAAAACCACCCCCACTTTATATCCAGTAGAAGCTTACATTTATAAGTCAAATTCTTTAAATATATAAACATGATAGTGGGGGTACAGCCTGGGTAAACTAAAAAAAAAAAAAAAAAAAAAAAACAATGACATATTTCATTAAGTCCTTGTTATAACTAAAAGTTTTACACATATAAGTTTTTAAATATATTTTTCAATTACCATCATTTCATGGAACTGGTCTTTTCACTTCTGATTTTGTAAATCTTTTGGAGCAGTTTGCTATTAACAAAAAATGTAAGAAAGATAACATAAAGCTAGACATTACAGAAAAAAAATATAATTCTGAGAAAGTTCAGGCAACATTAATGGCATTATTATTTTAAGGAAACTTACTTCAGACAATCTTCAGCAAGAAGAATATTTTCCCCATCTTCAAGAGTTTTGATACTGTAATCTGTTCCTTTAAATGAAGCCATCTTGCAAAGACCCTAAAATAAAGAAAATATATAGCAAATTTATAGATTTTTTTGATTTTTACAATTTATATTCAAAATGCATAGTTTCAGTCATTATGCATTGTATCTAAAATTGTATTTGATTTTTTGCTGTTATCTTCATGCAAATAAAAATTAATAAGTCATGTTCAATATGTATGCAATTATACATTTAAATTTGCACACTACTTAAAAAAAAAAATAAAGTAAAAATCATTGTTGCCTGATAACTGTAAAGGACCCGAGTGTTGATTGGTTGATTTTTTTTAGCAGCATATCAACCATTATGGGTTATTAATGCCAAAATTTAAATATTTTGAATGTAAATGCATGCCTTCAACTACAGATAAAATGTATTGCTGATCATTTTGCTTTGAAAATGTATGGTTGGTAATTCTACTATAAATATGTATTGTTGGTAATTTTTTTTTTATATAAAAATGTATTGCTGGTATTTTCATAGTGTTTTATTTTTGTTTGGGAGTTGAATATTTGCCCATAGCCAGGACCTTAACAGGTGCTACTACCCCACATCATGGTGGAACTAGGAATAATAGCAATTAAGAAGTGGTTCCATGCTCCTCAAAGCCTCCAATCTTCCAATCAGAGGCCTTGCTGCAAGATATGGTTTATTGTCATACCCAGGACAAGACGTGAGGGAGCTCAGTAGATTTGGAATAGTGTCTGGATTTTCTGGCTGTAATTACATTAATTGACCATGATCTCGAAATCTGGTCAATAGTGTCTTAAAATTTTTACATTACTGAATTAAAATCATCTTTTGGGGAAAAAAATATTAACTAAGAAGGTTAACATAAAGTAGAATTTTTTTTTTTTTTTAATTCTGTGAAAGCAATGTAAAAGAAATCGTTGAATAAATAATATATTTCCTACTGCAATCAGATGTCAAGATTTTATTGTTAACTTGACCTTTGCACACTGGAGTAAACTTAATTGTTAAAAAAGAAAGAGTAAAAATATTAAGAAGCACCAATATTTTTTTAAAAATCATTTCGCCCCCGAGCAAGGCAATAAAGCCACTAAGACACAAAGGATTACTAAGTGAGAAAAAATATGAGAAAAAGGAAAACATTATTTGGGAGAGAGAACAATAAAAGAACAGGAATGAAGAAGACCAACAACAGGCAGAGGCTGCATTTGCATACTATGACAGAAAGCTAACAAAATCTGGTAATATTATGAGGTACTGCTGAGGTGGCCTGGGTTAGCAGTAATGTTGCCAAAACCATGTCAGGCCCCAGTGTCATCAACTGGCCAATTTTTCACTGGAGGCACTACTTCTATATTCATAGGTGTATGGAATTATTTATTTTTTATTACAATAAATGTACAATTTATAGACATACCCATTTTTTTTTTTTTTTTTTTAACAACAGTGAAATTATTGCCAACCAGCCTATAGATCAAGAAATCCTATTACGGATTGATTAGAATTTTTTTAAATCACTAGAGTTGTACTTACCACAAGAGCTCTCACTCGAACATGTGGATCAGAAGACTCATACAAGGAATCTAGCACAGGAACAGCGTCTTTGAGAATTCCTGTACATTTGTCCTTGTTTGAGGCAGAACTTACAAGTGCTTCTACTGCTGTCATCTAAAAAGAAAAATGAAATGATAATTAACAAGCATCCAATTTGTAATGAAATCAGATTAACTTCATGGCTCTAGTGTTGATGTTAACTGCATTTGAAATATTGAAGTGTTTAATAAAATCATAACAATCAATAGGGCAAGAATCATGAGAAAATTACTGCAACAGTAAATCTTCACTTGTGGAAATTTGGGTTTGAAAATTCTTTTCTTGACATAAGCATAGTCTTGTTCATATCACAAACAAAAATATTGCAGACAATTTTGTACACAAAAATAGTAACATTTAAAAAGTGAAACTAACAAAAAGGCTAAGCATTTAAGACTGTTATAACCAGCCTGACATCAGTTATTATAACCAGCATATGGTTGCATAGGAAAGAACAAGGATTAAAATTTCAATAGCAATCAATGTTCAGAATATATATATAATGCTCAATGTCAGTACATGTAATTGTGTGAAAAGATAACAAAATTGTTGATATGTGTTTCTTTATTTGATGTTCATAAGGGAAGTAAATAGGTGTAAGTGTTTTTTTGGTAAGGGTGGAAGTTGTCAGATTTTTTTGGTCAGTTAACCTTGGTCACAGTTTTAACAACACGAGAGGCCTGAAGTGGATTAGTGAAACCACGTGATATATCAAGTTGGGTGTCATTGGCAGGGCTGAACTGTCTATCCTCTGGGTTGAAATTGACACCAATGAGGTGTGTGAATGGGCCAGTGCTTGTTTGGTGAGGTCAATGTGTTAAACCGAACTGCCTGGTATCGGCAAGATGTGCTGTTTTTATATCTATGGTTTAACAGATACTGGCTCCCAGGCTCATCATTTTTTTTTGTGGCAATATCTGGGATTGTTTATTGTATTTTAGATTTTTGTGAGGATTTTTTTCGTGGACTGGATGTGATGCTCAGAGCCTCTGCATAGAAACCAACTTTGGGGTTTTGCTTCCTTAGCACTCACATCCAGTCAACTTTTCTACTGAAATGTATTTGTCAATCAGAAAGAGATCATGAGAGAAATAGTATAGCAAGAGTATAACAGCAAAATTTGACAAAACTTTGTTAAATCTCATTAACGTGCTTACTTTTAGTTCTATTCAGACATAATAGAAAGAGAACAAGAACAAAAAAGAAAAAAGGAATATCTCAACCTGTAGGTTACTCTGATGAAGGCTGGAGGGCACAATGGCTGAAACGTTGTGATAACAATGAATACAATAGTATAAATGCAATTTCAATCAGTTTGTATCAAGTATTAACAAGACACACAAAATAAAATGTATCTAACACCATATATATATATATATATATATATATATTACTTAACCACTACAATGAGTACTGAGTTTATCATACTTATTTATAGGCGAAATTGAAATATTAACAGTCCATGAAACAAAAGAGCATTTTTGTCTTAAAGAATGAACCAGTAAATCCAAGACTATGACCAAAATTTTTGTTAAAGTAACTAGAGCCAACATTTTTATGAACCCACCAGCCAGAGTATGGGGCCTATTTTAAGTAAAGTTTTGAGTAAATTTATAGAATAGCTGTAGCAAAAGTTCACCAGGCAGATTACAGAAAGATTAAGACAGAAAAATCTAGCCTATTTAAACAGTCTCAGTAGAAGAGAAGTGAATTTTTATTTTCAAAATGTCCAATATACAGATACAGTCACTCCTCACTTAACGACCAGGTCATTAAGTGAGAAGTCATATCTGATTGCTATTTCAGGTATATTACATGCGTAATCTGTTTGTGTCAACCAGCTTTAGTTAGCTTCAATGTCAGTTATGCACCATTTTTAATTTATTTATTAACTGTTTATACAGTAGTGTACTGAACGGTAAATGTAATAAGCAAATTCAAAAATCTATATTCTGAACATTACTTCCGCTTGCATAAATTACAAGAACATTTTTTATTTATTTTATTTAGTTTCATTCATTTTTATGGAAGAGAAAACAATTACAATCAAAATTTTTGTACAACATACAATACTAACTGGTTTGATATTTTTTTTTATCTCATGAGATTTTAAAGCCGATTGTGAGTCCAGGTGAAGGGATTGCTAAACTGGTAAGTCATTAAGTGAGGAGTGGCTGTACTATTTAACAATCTTACAACTTCAAACTGGGGTTTGCAGACTGATGCCTATGGTCAAACCATGCTGAAAACACTGGTTCTCATTTGATCACTAAAAGTTAAGCAGTGTCAACCCCAGTAAGGACTTAGATGGGGACCACTTTGGAATAGCAGATACTGTAAGTAACCTCCTACAATCAGAAATACATTTTGGCTCTAAATAACCCACAAAGGGCTGATAAGCTGTGAAAAACAAATCAATTTATTGCAGACTGAAAACCTCATTAACTTTTGTGAAAGAAACATTTTTTAATACACTTCTCCACCCAACTTCAAAATCAATAAATACATAATAATAAAAGGCTTTGAAAATGTCATCTTTATAACTGTTAATTATGTGAGCCCTCTGAGAACTTAAAAACATTTTTAATAAAAACATTTTTAATTAAAAAAAAACAATTTAGGAACCATGAAGAATTTTATGACATAAATACATTTCCAAATTTCCAGACTATCTCTTTGCTGCAGTTTTTTTTATTTGATTGTAATACTTTATTTGTTTCTGTTACCAGAAGCAAATGTTGTAAATAGCAAATAATAAACACATTCAGCCTTATATGAGAGAATAGCATTCAGGGCTACCGCACCCTTGCATTATGCACTACATGAAATGAGATCAACTACAATTAGAAGATTTGTTTCAGATCTTGCCAAAGATCAGTTCTGAAGTAAATAAATTATTACAGCATTTAGTTTTAAAGTGCGTTAATATTATCAATTATACAATTCAACCAACTACATTGTACAACCTCAATTACCTAACTCAGTAGAGATGCAACCTAATGGTGGAATATAACAAATGTCACCAAAGTTTACAGATTCATACACATAGACAATACAAACCTTTTTAAACAATTACATCTAATGATAGAGATTGACAGATTAAAATTTATTAATAAATCTAATAATTTTACTTTTCAATTCATATGGTAGCAATTTTCCAGCTAAATATCATTTTAAGACAATACGCATTCTGGTTTAGAGAGAATCAAAAAATAAATATGTTACTTACCTGATGTAATTTATTATCACTCTTTGCCATTGACAACAGGACACCAATTACTCCTTCCATACCGAGAATCATAGATCCAACTTCAAATGGACCCTACAATAGATAATATGCTAGTAAAATAGTTGACTACAGTAAGTCCCCAGATTATGAGTCCTGACCTACAATGATTTGTGGTTATGATGCAATCTCCATTAATCTTATTTCGACTTATGCTATTTGCCTCATGCATACAACTCAAATGGCATGGCGGAAGAATACATTATATGTATTGGGTCGTCTGGAAAGTTCATGCCAATTTTTAAGGGAAATTTAAACAAAAAACAAAATTATGCCATTAAATATTGATTCAACTAAATATGAAACATTTTGTTGCACAAGTTTTCTCCAGTTTGCCTTCAATTTAAAGATTTCATCTTCCCAGTTTCTCAGCAAAGAACTCATTAAGGTGATTTATGTCATCCAAAGAATTAAACTTTATCATTGAGATTATTTTTCAAGGACCTGAATAAATGAAAATTCAAAGAAGCAATGTCTGGTGAATATGGTGGGTGAGGTAACACATCTCAGCCAAGCTGCAACAATATTTGCTGGGTTGCCAAAGAAATGTAAGGTCTGGCACTCTTCTGATGGAACACAACACCTTCCCTGTTTGCCAATTCCGGATGTTTTTCTTGAATTGCTGCCATTAATTTGTCCAGTTGTAAGTAGTACTTTTCAGAATCAACTGACTGGTTACTTGGTAGAAATCTCATAGTACAGGATTCTTTTCAATCCCACCAGATGCACAGCATGACTTTACAGGATCTTTTTCATTGAACATTGTTGTAAACAATCCATTTTTCATCACACATCACAATTTGTTTAAAAAAGGGTGAATTTTCATTGTGTTTATACAGCAAATCACAGATGAAATATGATCCAAAAGATTCTTTTCACTCAGATCATGTGGTACCTAAATAATATAGTGATTTGAGTACCCAAGCTTCCCTAAGTGCTCATGGATGGTAGATTTTGATAAATTCAGTGTTTGTACCAATTTTCACATTGTGCAATGCAGGTTATTCTCAATCAATGTCTTGATTTGGTCGTCATCTGTAGTAGGGCATTGTTCATCAATAAGGATACAATCAACTCAACTTAGGGAACCACTTCCATACAGTTCTGTCAGCTAAAGCACTCTCACCATACACAGCAAATATCGTTTTTGTTGCTTGTGAGGCATTTTTGCCTTTATGGTATAAAAAAACAAAAAACATCACATGTCCAAAATGCACCTTATAATCTTCCATTTTCATAGGGATGCAAAATTGACATGAATTAAGTAATTTTAAACTTTCCTTCTCAAGAGATAGTTTGAAGTGTGCCCTAATCAGAAATGTAAGCATATTATATCTGTTGATAAATTTGATATATTCTAATGTGTTGGAACATGAATGAGTAAAAATCAGCATGTACTTTCCATACAACCTAAATATATTTATGCCCTCTGTATGTCTTTTTTTAGTCCTATGTTCTATAATATTACTGGCCAATCATTGAGCAAGCTGTGTGTGTGTGTGTGTGTATATATATATATATATATATGCCACCCAGAGAGAAGCCATCTTGAAGTAAAGGTGACCAGAGTGAAAAAGGTAAATCTTGCAGGAGTTTAACAGATTCCCTTGTAATCAGATTCAAGCAAATCAATTTAGCTGATACTGAATTTTCTATCCTTCTATAATTCAGAATAAAGACTTCAGAAAACAAAGCAGGTCACAATTAAGTATTTTTTTTTCACCTATTGTAATTAAAACATCAAAATTGAGTAATTAATTTTTATACTAATAATTGAATTATAACTTTCTGATCTACCTTTCTTGATCTTCATAAAAAAAAAAAAAACATTACTGAATGGAGTTGGTAGGTTTAATGAACTGAACGGGTATTATCAAAATTTCTACTTCAATGGGTTACATGATACAACATTGAAAGCAAAAGATTAAAAAAAGAAAGAATCACTAAATTCTCTGTAATTTTCTCATTTTAATCTTCAAATCTATTTTTTACTGTCATTCAATTTCTGTTCAAGAAAAATCAACATTAGTTGAAAAAACTTAAAAACAAAAATATGAAAAGGAGGAGCTAAATAAAAAAGTAATAAAAATATTATGTATCACATTATACTTCTACTTATTCCTCCATTAGTTACTTACTGTGTACATTACATCCTGCATTTACCTTGAATAAATAATAAACCATTCCATTTTGATTGCAAGGAAAGTTGAAAGAGAAAAAAAAGATATATCAAAGACATTGTTTTGTTGTCAGAAAAGAAAAGGAAGATATAGGATATGCTAATGCTCCCATATGTTTAACATCTGCTTCAGTGAAATGAAAAACTTTGTCAATTCTCAATCTTTTTTCAGTTTTTAATATTTCACAGGTACTGCTAGTATTTATATATTTAACAACTTATGTATGAAAAACCTAAGAATTTAAATAGGCTGTCCTTTTTTAGAGCACAAGTGGTTTCATAAAAATATTTCACAGATCTTGATTTAACATGCACAAAAAATAATTTACAAACAAGATTAAAAATAGTGACATTCTAATCAAACATTGTTACCCCTTGCCAAAGAGTAACCCAGAATTTTGTAAAGCAAGAGATATGACCTCATTCTAATCTGTACTCCTGAACAGGTATTATTCCAGATTTTAGAAGTATTACTAATTATAAAGATGCTAACTGTACCTGTAATAGAGTTGTAATGGCTCGAACAGCTTCAACTGTGGCATTCAGATCTCTTTCACCAAATTGTTCTCTGAAATATTAAAAAAAAAATTATCATAAGTGTTTTGTATCATTTAAATGTGGGCTTTCACTTTCACAAGATTGATCAGATTTCAATTGCTAGATCTTCTATTAGAATGTTGACAAGAAATCAATTCTGGTTAAAATTCAATCAGCCTCTACTATTTCATAATGGAGTATAATAACATTTTTAAGTAATCAATATTTGATTAATAAATAAAATGCATGGTGAATTTTGTTAATAATTCAAATGTTCATAAACATCCTATATACCCTTCCCCGACAGCGCCAACTCCACTGGCTTGGACATTATACACTGTATGCCACATAGGAGGATTCTGAAGGTCATTCTGTAATGGGAACTGACCACTGGCAAGAGGGAAACCTCATTTTCACTTCAAGGATGTCTGCAAAAGGAACATGAGGGTGATGGACATGGACATCGAGAGACTCATGCTGGAGATGCAATTTACACTGGAGGCTGGAGTGAGGAGATGAGAAATGAAGGCTTACCACCAGAGAAAAGCATGTTTGATAGAAAGAAAACAACAAGGCAACATCGGAAAAGAGTGTTATAAGTATAAGAACCAAAATGAATATACTAATCCAAATTGGTAAAGATCCAGCTGTATTCTTTATTTCCTTATTCTACAGTGAGTAATCTATCCTCACAAATTCCAAGTTATAAGATTTAATATTTTAGACCAAAGCAGGAATAACAAATCAGGTTTAAAAAAATGTATTCTATCATCAGACCATTTCAGAAAAATAGCAATCAGTAGACATTTTGTGGGTCTCTCTTTCAACATCAGTTATGCGTGGAGTTTTGACTGTGCAACTTTGGTAATGCAGTTGTCATGAAAACCAAGAGTTCCAGTAACCATGTGAAATATGAAGACAAGTCTAAGCAGGTCTGACTTCTTAAACCAGAATGTGCATTCCTTAAATAAAGCAATCCTTGGAATGATTAAATATTCTGAACAAGTTTTAAACTTTCTAAGAATGTTATAAAAATTAAGACTGTTTAATTTTTTGTAGTCATAAAATTTGTTTTATAAATTTTTATCCATAAATTTCATCATAGTCTCCTAAAAGTCTTGTCATGTTATTTATAAAAACCTGTTGACCTGGCCAACATTTTGATACATGCTGCCTCTTTCAAGTTTCTCACTCTCCAGTAGTGTTCCTTATCAATTATCTGGACTAATATGTGTATTATCGTCAATGTCACTTATACTTAAAATAAGAAAGAGACAGTTGTAATTTCTGGGACACATATTCAGGAAATAAGGCTTGGAAAATTTGGCAGTCAGAGGAAAAAAAGTAAAAAAAGATAATCATTGTTTAGGGCTACAAAGTATAGGAAATTTTTGAGACCGATGATCGTCCACATAATGAAGGAACATGGCACATAGATGGTCAATGTAAGTTATCCAAAAAACAATGAAAACAAAAACTAGTCAAAAAGTAACATATAATAGGGAGTTTTCTCCGCAAAAAAGTAATGAATAAAAAAAAAGATCAATTTCAAGATGAGGTTTTATGTTTCATTTCATATAGTAATAATGATATATTTACTAGCAAACAATGAATAACAATGATGATATAAAAGGAAGCATAAAAAACAAAGCTCTTGTTTCCTACAATTACTTACTTAAAGTAATCATGGGAGTGTTCTTTAAAAATCTCCCTTTCTTTATCACCAATCATATCATCATAAATCTTGGACATAAGCAGTGCTGCATGCATACGAGAATTTTCAGTCACTTTGAACACAGATTCCAATTGGCGATGAGAACCAGCAATATTCAGGAGGTAATTCAAACCTGGAAGTAAAAGTGATTCAAACCTGAACATAAAAGTAAATCTACAACAAAATAGTCATAGAAAATTCATCTTAATTCTATTAATTTCAAAAGAATAAAAACAGCCTTTATTCTCTCACCTTTAAAAAAAGGAAAAAAAAAAAAAAAAAAAAAAAGGGTCCCATCTCTAATAAAATGTTTCAGTAAGCATTCACATCAAGTTTGATGCAAATGAATGTGAACTTGGATCATACTTTGTTTTCAGTCTTGCAAAATAAGAATATTGTCAAGAGTCTACAGAAAGCAGCACAACAGAATCTTTTCTCATAAGATTTTGCAAAACATTCGGCTAACATACAAATCTTCAACATCTTTCTGAGATGAGGTATTGTAACTATTATACATTGTTGTCCTCATCTTTATTGCCATATTCATGATGTTTCTGCCATTGTACACTCCGGCCTTCTTCAGGCAATATTAGTTGGAATTTTGAATTGAACCCCTTATTTATTCCACAGGGGTAGATTGTTCTAGTTCCAGTTAATTCCTCTTGGTAACTCAACTCTCCAAGTTTTTGTTCCCAATGCTGTGGCCACGTATCGAACTTACAACTCTTTGGATCAAGTCATTTTTAGGATCACTCAACCAATACTTTTATCTACTGGGCCATGTGGCAGCATTGGTTGAGTGATCCTAAAAGTGAATTGATCCCAAGAGTTGTGAGTTCAATACCTGGCCACAGCATTGAGAACAAAAACTTGGAGAGTTGAGTTACCAAGGGGAATTAACTGAAGCTGAGATATCCAAAGGCATGGTATGTGGAATTAGAACAATCTACCCCATGAACTAAATAAAAGGTTCAGTTCAAAATTCCAACTAATATCACCTGAAGAAGGCCAGAGTGTAAAACAGTCCAAACAATGTAAATAGATACAAAATATTATTTTTAACTTTTTTCTTAGCTTTTCTAGTCATCTTACTTTTGTTGCTTTTCAACACAATACTCAGGTTATTTTTACATTCTACAACAATTAAGTAATGTGTACAGATAAGAAATAAAGAACAAGCCTCCAACAATAATTGAACTCGCATTCCCTATCTTTGCCTGACTGCCTTACTGAGTAGACCAAGAAAGCAAACCAGCAAAACTTATTCAAATTTAGTTATTTAGCTACATTTCTGCTCTGTACCATATTGTTTATTTATACCTAGAATAGTTTTTGATTGTTTTATTTTTCATGGTTTACCAACCTTTAATTAAAAGGCAGAAAATATTTTTAGATTGTAAGAAGTTTTTGGAGATAATAATGATTTACTGATACAAGTTCTACTAATTAACGTATAGCCAGGAGGAGAGGTGGATTCATACCTTTCCAAAGGCATTTGTGCATAAGTGAATATAACAAACCTGACTGGAATTAGAGCTTGGCACTATGATTTCCAATTCTGAGTTGTTATCCATTACACCAGGTTTACAACCAAGCTTACAGCACTTAGTATTGCCAAGTGGTCATCCATTTAGATACTGATATGGCTCAATGTTGCTTAACTCTGGTGATTGTATAAGAACTGGTGATATGGTTATAAGCTAATATTGTCCACTTTTCATGCCACTTACATGGAATCCATCAATGTTTCGTTTAAAGCTATATATATTTGCTATTTTTTTCACATGATTAGGCAGTTTATTACAATAAAGTAATACCCATTTTATATAAAAAATATCCATGTTTATTTTCTCTGCCAAGCAAAGAAACCAACACACTGCTAAAATCTATACTATCCTAACTTATCTGAGCATTGCAATAAGTAACAAAAATAAGATAAGAAAATACTAATGCATGGCAATCTTTATTTAAGGCCATGTCATACCTATAACTGGAGGCCTATCTCAAATCTCATTGTTCCACTGGGAGCAAAGATTTTTAGTTTTGGTTTGGGTTTGTAGTAGTTCACTGGTGGAGTTGGTTTAAGAAATTTTTGAATTTTACACCTGGAATACCTTCAGTTTATTTAATTAAAGTAAGTATAAGATTTATTTATTTTATTTCCTTTGAACTTTCTATATTATGTTTTCATTGCAAAATTCACTGAAATGTAATTAAGGAAACCTGGTCTTGTTTAACATTTTTCACTTAAAAGTTAATTTAATATTCATAAAAACAAATAGTGAGAATCAATTTTATTTATTTTTGTATAATCTGTATTTTTGCTCTAACAAAAGAAAAAAGTTAAAAAAATAATTTGTTATTAATCCTATTTTTTTCTGGTCTTTCTTATTAGAAATGTTACAAGGATTCTTCCAAGAAAGAGAATTTTAATATTTTGTTATATTTAATTTTTAAAACCTTTCTTAAAATCTTTTTTCCTCAATTCTGTTATTACATTACAAAACTTATTTAAAAATGCTATAATTTGTTACATAATGTTAATTTAATATTATCTCTGTGTTATTGTTATTCATAAATATATTGACGATAAACTTAATTCTTTATGAACAATTTGTGTTTTTCTTTCTAAAAAGGTATTTTAAAAAAAAAAGTATATTAAATGTTAGTTTAGTTTATCATTAGAAACATAAAATATGAGCAAATATAATACTTTATATGACAAAATTAATGAAAAATCATTTTTTTAATTAATGTTCATCTAATACAAGGCCCAAGAGCTACTCGAAGTAGAGGGTTACCGTGTGGAGTTATATTAGCGTAGTTAAGGACAAATGTTAGGAGTATAGAGCTGAAGCAGACTTTAGAAGGAACTGGAAGCCCAATCCTAAGCAGGAAACAAGGGATAAACCTCTACTCTGGGGAGGAGTGTGAACCGGACGATGGGTGAACCTAACTACTCCTATTGGTGAAGGATAGGGAAAAAATATGAAATAAATAGTGAACAAAATTTCAGAGTTCAGGTACAGATGTTAAGAGTACAGAACTGAAGCAAACTTCAGAAGAAACTGGAAACCCAATCTTAAACAGGAAACAAGGGATAAACCTCCACTCACAATCAAAAGACCAGGGAGGAGTGTGATCAAGACAATAGGCAAACTTATCTACTCCTATTTTTTATTAAGAACATTGGTATGTAAAGTTAATTTTATAATTAAATTCAATAAGTTTAATCTGATATATTTAAATATGGTAAACAAGATGTACAAAAATATTAATCGTTATTCTGCTGCTAAACCATGCATTTTTTTTTTATTTTCTTGTTACTTCTATAATCATAAGAATATATTTATGACAAAATACACCAGCATAATAACAATTACTTTATTTGTAAACAATAGAATAAATAAGAAAAGTTACTTTTATGTTTATTTTGTTTGTTCATATTTCTGTTCCAGTATTCAAAATTCTGATATGTTTTTTTTTTGTTTCATTAAAACTGTTTTAATGTGGATAATTAATTCAATGATTAAAATACATATAACATTTCATACACTCTTGTTAACAGGGAGGGAAATGATGGATCAGAAACTCTGCCAAATTACATATTAATTGTAATGCAACCTTACTAAAGAAAAAATATATCAAGATAAAGAGGATTAACATTTTGAGCCAAATTAATTATGCTCTTAATCTCTACTTTTTTATTTGAACTTCTTCAGCAGTGAACAAACCCAAACCAAAACTAAAAATCTTTACTCCCAGTGAAACAACATGATTTGAGACAAGCGTCCAGTTATGGGTGAAACATTCACGATGACATGGTCTTCACCATAAATATTATTTAATCATAAATAAACAAATACACTTTCATTTAAGAAATTCAAACAACATAAAAATCTTATATTTATGCAGTACATTGCATGAGCTTCTAGATATGTTTGACCAAAATTTTTAAAATAATCAATTTGTTATACATTAACTTTTAAATTTTCTTGTGTTTTTTTGTTTTTTTAACTCTTTGTAAACTTTTTCTTCAGACAAGTTATTTTACTGTGAAGCCAGCATTCACTTTGCTTTAATGGTAGAGATAACTAAAGGAAGGCTTACCTTCTATTTCCATGAAGCGTTTTGACCACCCAATACCATTACTTCGTGTAAGATACTTTATAAAAATTTCCATGATGTTGTCACGGCCTGGAGCTGACACTTTCCAACTTGGTAACATTTTTGTTAGAATGCTGAAAAGCTGGTCAATGAAATTTTTACTATTTTCATCTGTTAAAAAAAAGTTTGTAAAATATGTATGTAAAAAGCAATTAATACATCAATAGTAAATGAAGTTTTTGTAAATGGGGAAAAAAAAATAGAGTTCTTGATTAATATCTTAAATTTTCAACCTGAGGTCAGATGGTAATTTTTAATCATCATGCCCGGAAAAAAAAAAAAAAAAAAAAATGGTGTATCAAAAGGATGGTTATTCCCTTGATACCACTATTCTTTTGACTCCCTCAGCAATGTTTATTTTCAAAAGCAACATAGATAATGTTTATTCAAATCCTTGTTTTATAATTCATTGATATTTTCATAAAATCATGAATAAAAAAAACTTTTCATATTTATTTATAAAATAGTAAATAATAAATATTACACTGTATTTTGATAATTTTAAAATAAAAAGCTTTTTCAAATTTGTTTCTTTATAAAATGGTAAATAATAAATCTTTATAGAAGGTAAATAATAAATATTACATTGTACTTGGTTCACATATTTTTATAATCTTGTAAATAAACATTGCCAAGGAAGTCAAAAGTGTATACAATATTAGTGGTGTCAAGGGAATAAACATCCTTTTGACATGCCATTTTTTGTAGCCAATTAGATATAACCAAACAAGAAAAAAACATCCTAACTTGAAGCAAATCCAAGCCTAATAAACTATTATTTTAGAGAAATTAAGAAAAGCTTCTTTCAAACTAAAAATTTCTAATTCAGACTTCAAAAGTTTCAACCACCATCATCCAGGTAAGTTAGAAAAGAAACACCTTTCTTAGATTTAGGTTTTATTAGTTATAATCATTGCTTTTAAAAACAATAAACATTACTGAGGAGTGAAGGTAGTTAAAATGATAGCAGTGTCAATGGAAAAACCATCCTTTTGACATTCCATTTTTTTGCAGGCACAAAGATCCAATATTGCCAGAAGTTTTTTTTTCTTAGAAAGCATATTATAATTTTGCCGAATATGTGAGCAGTACTCATAACACAATATATCCTTTTTTACAAATAATTATTCAACTGTTATTGAAACACAAATTTTATCTCATTCTTTTGTTTGTATATTATATGAATTTAATTTTAATCATTCTATTTTCACTCAATTAACACAAGACTATATTTTTGTTGGTGGAAGACAATTTATCTGGAGTCAGAATTAAGTGATTGTCAACTCCACCACAAAATTGTCATCCAGTCTCTGATCCCAAATTCCAGATGACAATGAAATAATATTCACATAACTATATGAATATTAAAGTTTTGTTTTACTAAGAATAGTGCTTTCTATTTAAAAAAAAAGAAAAGATCTAGCTCATAATACAATAATAATAATAATTTTAAAAACATTTTATATAGTATAACAACAATAAAAATAACTTATTAATGTTATCTTGTCATACTGAAAAAATTATAAAGATGTACAGAACAGATTTTCATTCCTATAAACTGTGATAAATTATAAGTTTCTATTTTCTTATAACTTAGCTTTCATTGTAAATGATCTTAAAAACAAATTAAAAATGTCTTGATTTCATGCAGAAGTAAAAATTGCAGTTGTCGTACCCATTTCAAAGTGGATGGGCTTGGTATGTTCTCTTTTCTTTTTCAATTCTGCCTGTTCCTTGATTTTTGCTTTGTATGCTTCTACATCTGTCATAGAATTGATGATGTTACACAGAAGACTGGAAGTTGCCACACAGATTTTTTCTTCAGGTGACCCTATCATATCACAAATCTGATGGATACCCACATCTCTCAAGATAGATTCAGTCTACAAAGAAAACAATAAGTACAAATATGCAAACTTTTTAAATATACTGTATTTACCCAAATTTAACACAACTCTCTCCTCCAAATATCACCCTGAATATTACACCCCCAATGGCAGATGTTTCCTGCATTTAGCTAACACATTTTCATGTTTGACACACTAGCTTCCTGATGATGCCAAAATTAAATATGATTGTAAATGATTAAATTATGAATACAAATCAAAATAATATTAAAACAAAAAAAAAAAATGAATAAGTATGACTCAATTAAACTTTTCTTAAAAGAGTCCATGCCAAATTATAGGTAAAATGCAGTAACTTTTAAAATGACAGGTAACTTTAAAAAAAAAAAAAAAAAAAAAAATTTACAAAAAACCTGATTACTAAAGAATTAAGAGAAGTTGTTTTTGCTCAGTAAAATATTTTTATCAGTTTAAACATTATTTTTGTCTGTTTGTAACCTCTTTAAGGATACAAAAGATTAATAAATAAAAATTCATTACTTCTTTACAAATTGCTTTGTTTACATTTTAGATATGAAACTGAGCAGGTACTTTTTTTAAATTTAAGAAAAATAAATTAATGAAAAAGCTTTCAAAGAGTTACTTACTCGTTTGCGACTGTTCTCAGCTAAATTACTCAATGCACGGATGGCCGATTGTTGCAGCTCAGTATCATCTTTCATTTGACTCATTTTGTTTAAAAAGTAAATTCCATTTTCTCGAACAATTTTCTCAGCACCAGCATCTTCTCGAGCCAGTACCATAATGTTATTGGTGGCCTATACACAAAAGAAAAATTTTTATAATGGCCAATTCATAAGAATGTGAAGATATTTTAAAATAAGTCAATTGAAACATTGTGGAATTTCAATGTGCAAAATCAAGGAAGATTGTCTTTGAACAATCAATAATGCATTAATTCTTACTGATGAATTTTGAGAAAAATAAGTTAAACAGAAAAATTACTGTTAATTTCTTGTCTCTTGTAATGTCTGGGTTGTCTTCAAAAGCCAAGGTGAACATTTGTTTAACTTTACCATCCGTGCTGGTTCGATTTTGGATCTGAAAAAAGATTACCATTAAAGAATAATGCAACATCCTAGAATTCAACAAGATCTGAAGACACAAACACAATATTGAAAAAAATTTTAAAATAAATAAAAATTCCTTATTAAAATTCACTGAAAAAAAATTCAGTTTTGTTTCTAACTCAATTGTAAAGTACACAGCTTAATGATGAAAATAAAACATTTATTTTACACAACAGATGTTTATTTTTCAACAATCCCCTTTCTTGCAAATGCACTTAAATCAGTGGTGAATATTAAATGACAGATTCATAAGTGTTTCAACTTGAAGACACACTACAAATCAGTGTGATTTCTCATCTTCAGCATGGCTCTTCATTCCTGAGCATGCCTGCCTGCTTAGCCCCAGTTGTGCTCCTTCAACACTCACAGAGCATCTATCATGAGCAGACCTTAGTTACAGTTCAAGTATGTGACCTACCAGTGCCACATACAATTTTCAATTTTTGCCCTTCTCCTATACTAGTTGCCAACCACAGCTAGAGAGTCCAGTCTTCATAGGAGGAGAAAAGATGGATTCATACCTTCCTCAAGAGTATTTGAGCAAAAGTGAATGTAACAATTTCAACTGGAATTCAAATTAAGCTAACCAATTTCTAACCATTACACCACCTGCACATCACATTTGCCTAACAGCTTAATCAGTGAAAATTTCAGGTCAAAATTCAACATGTTTAGCTATGGACTTATTCACACACACACACACACACACACACACACACACACACAAGTGAAAGAAAAAAAGATAATAATAAAACCCAATAATAAACTTGCTTGATCTTTATAATCTATTGTTGGAAATAAAGTAATATATTTTATATATTTGCTGACATAAATTCCCATCCTCCCGAAGGCAATACAAAAAATTTAAACTTTTTTTGCAAACCCAATAATCCGTGCTGTTTTTTTTTTAATAAATAAAAAAATAGTAACTTTAGCAATACCACATCAACTAATGCACTTTTTAGCCATTACCTTTTTCTTTCCTTGTATGAAAACTCTGCTTTTCTCAGAGTGTTATAGTAGAGCTGAACCCTTTGTCACCCATAAGTGTTTGGCTAATATAGAAACTGTAATAACTTACAGTCTGTTGCATGAGTGGTGAAATTCTTTGCATCATTTTCTGAACAGCAGTGTTCTTTGGATCCATCTTGAGGAGAATGGTGGCATCATTGTAAGCCTTTTCAATTTCATTTATACCCTCATAACCTTGGCAACGTCGAAATAAGGCCTTGGTATCCTGAGGAGACAAAGTCAAGGCTAAAAGAAGAAAGAAATTAAAGATATTAAGAAAATAACAATGATCTACTTTTTCTTCAAGAAACCAAGAAAATACCATAATTATATTGTTTGGAAAGTAGAAAGAGTAAAACAGTGGGCAAGCCAAATGTGAGTCAAATAGATATCATGTTATGTAACTGGAGTTTAAATCAAAAGGCATTAATCTTGCCAAATGGGTAGAGCTAGAAGAGCAATCCATAAAAGTTGGGAAAAAGAATCAGCGATAAACTAGCCAGTCTTGTAATATTCATTTAGTCTTATTATATTAAGGACATATACAACCTCCCAACATACAGTGTATATTTCAGTATTAGCGAGTTAAGCAAGGTACAAGTACTACTACTCTACAGCATCTGGGTTAGCATGAGCTGACCAGATACCTGAACTACACGTATAAGATCCAGGAGATATTTTTGAGCCATTAATTTTTTTTTTTTTTTTTTTTGAGGCTTGGGAGTGGGGGGGGATCTTGGGAGATGCCATCAGACATGGTAATTCAATTGCATTACTAACAACCTAGGTGAAAAAATAAAGCTTTATTTAAATTAAATGTTAAATCATCATTGTGTAGGTATAGTTACCAAGAAAATGTTAATTTCAAATGAAAACATCTAAACAGAAAACTGATAGAAGAAAGACTGTTAAAATATCCACAGGATTTGGTTGATAAAAAAGAAAAAAAAACTGAAAAGAAAAAAAAACCCCACCGGTTTGTATTTTTTTTCTTTTCCTCATATGTTGTTTTCGAAAAAGAGATTAAGGAGAAAATAAAATAAGTTCTAGCTGAGCTTTTAAAAAAGTCAAAAAACAAAAGTTGCATTTAAGATGTAACAGTGAATCTTTTAGATGAAGTATTCTAAATCATTAACAATTTCTGATTAATACTTCCATCATTGCAATTTCTGCTGCTTTCAAATGCAACTCCTAGATCTTCATTCAATTTCTAACTTGTACAGCTTACTAATAATTGGAGAAAGACGATCTGGGATTTGCAGTAGAAAGTATCAGAAAATGGGAGGAACAAAGCATGAATCAAATGTGTTTGAATAACTCAAGCGAGATGCAGAGAACGGGTTTGAATAAATCAAGTGAGACGCAGAGAACAGGTTTCAATAAGTGGGACACAAAGAATGCACTTGAATAAGTGGAATGATAAAGATTGATTCATTCATTTTCTATATAACTTATCAACCTTTTGCAGGATATTTAAAGCCAGAAAATATTTTTAGAGATAATAATGACTTAGTGATAACAAGTCAAATTAATCCATAGCTTTGAGAAGAGGTATATTCATACCTTTCTCAAGGGTATTTGCACATAAGTGAATATAACAAACCCAATGGGAATTGGAACACAACACTCCAATTAACAATTTTGAGCCATTATCCATTACACTACCCACCAAGCTTACAGGACCTGGTATTTCCAAGTGCTCACCCATCTAAGTACTGACCAGGTTCAACATTGCTCAACTTTGATGATCATATGGGAACCGGTGCTTCAGTGTGGCCGTAAGCCTTGGGAATGAAAAGAATCTGTTTGAATAAATCAATTAAGATAAAACAAGTAAGAATCAAATATATTTAAATAAATCAATCAACCAATGAAACTTAATACATTTGCTTAATAAAACCTACTTGATATAAGCAGAATTTGTTAAACTCAGTTGTTTTTCCTTTTTTTTTTTAAATTAAGATATTTGTTTTGATCCTAGACCTACAGTAGACAAATAAGGTACTTGTAAAGTACAGGATATTATATGACAAAATAAACTACAAACCTTCAGAAGCATCAGCTACAGCAAAAAGATATTCTTTCTGCTTTAGACGACAGGCAGCACGATTCTTGAGGCAGGCCACCTTCTCCTCCTGTGGGATATCCGTGACATTCAATGCCTGTGTGTAAGCACCAACAGCCTCATCATATTGGCTATTCTTGTAATATTCATTTCCTTTTTCTTTTAGTTCAATTGCTTCACTGACAGCCTAAAATGAAAAAAAAAAGTTTTATTTTTATTGTGTAAATGAAGAGATGTTGTTAGCAAGAAAACATTAAATTTCAAATAAAAAAAAACAGACAAAGAGTAAATGCTGTTTAAATTGAATGCAAGATATAAATAGGTTAAATTCTGAATTACAGTGAAGTCAAGGTGCTCTGAAAAAAAACTACAATTCACAAAATTTGATAAGCAGTGGAATAAATAAAAACTTTTAGCAAGCAAAGTTAAAGAAAGGAACAAATGAAAAGTGATGTAACTATGGGAAGTTATGATAGAGCATAAAAACCGGCAAACTGATCATAATAAATATTCTACATACACTAGCTAGGATTATTAACAAGAAAAAAAAAGAAAGACAGGATTATACAGAGATAACAGGCTCATAATACTAAGAAACTACAATAGATAAAAAAGATCAAAATTAAAAGAGAAATAAAATTTTTCAAAAGGAATAAAAATCAGAATTAAAACAAACCAAAAAGTAGACTTCTTAGATGAAACATTAAAGCTCTATAAAGGGATATCTCAGCCATACAACAATCCACTTTACATACTGTTATAGTGGAACACGCCTATTCTATTGTTAATAGACTCTCCCACCTATAATAAGTAGGAGTAGTAGCAGTCGCTCGGGGAGTTGGTCAGTCAGTCAATGTTGGACGACCGTTAGTCGGATATTAAAGTATCAGCAACCACGACTAGATTTCTCTACGTCATTACCTATTATATCAAGTTCCTAACGTTTTGTATGTCGAACCTATTTTAGGACCGACTTAGTAAAAATACAAGCCTCCACTGTGAAACTACTCTACAACACACACACATCAGCCACCCAGCATAATTAAACAAATTCAATTCTCTGTCATAGGCAAATTATCCAACAATATGTCAAACAAAAGTAAATTAACAAATCCCAAAATGCATATGAAATAATAACATTTTTTTATAGCAAAACTTACATTTACACCTAACAGAACTAAAAATTCAAAAACATACAATATAAAAATTCAAAAAATCAAGTAAACATCACAGAATTACTCTAAAACATCTTTAAAAGATAACAGAAAATAAATAAAGCAACAGTGCACCAGACACCCACCTATAGTTGCAGAGCAAAGTATAAACCCTGACTAAATAATATATTAGGTTGGTGCAAAAATAATGACGTAATAATATCGTTTTTGACATATTTTTTAACGTCAAAAAAACGACATTATTACGTCATTATTTTTGCACCAACCTAATACCAATACAGTAAGATCCAAAGGAAATCCTATATATATATATATATATATATATATATGATTTTCACTGGAAAATACCCCATCTACAAAAACATCCATCATTTTATAATTCCCATTTCTCTGTATGTTTCTCGGACAGTTAATGAAGAACACAGGCATGTCCAAAAATTCTGAACATAAAACCATGCTTCATTTTAGACATATGGTTAATAAATGTTTGTTGTACTAAATTGGTACCCTTTCATTTATCCTTGTTTTATTAACCAACCTATTTTATATATATGTTGAGCACTCTTAAGAATAAGTATTTTTGGTTATTGGAATTTATTCTGTATACACCAATCCTATACTTTGTGTGTGTGTGTGTGTGTGTGTATATATATATATATAGATAGAGAAAAAAAATAGAGAGAGAGATACTATATATTACAGCACAATTCTCTCAGATCACATATGGAAAATAAGGAAAATTGCACTAACTTACAGTACCTCAAAACGTTATAACATTTGCTTAAAGGAGAAAAATAACAATCACATTTCTAGAACAAGATAACATAGGAAAACTCTTAAACAAAAGATCAGAGCCCATTCCCAAATGTAGACACAAAAAACAATTCTATATATCATCATCAGCAACAACATATATAAGTTCTGCATTTGTGTCAGATAAATTGTCACATATGTTTTTACTATTTAAGCTACGTATGTAAACCAATAAAATGTTTAATAGTCATCATGTTCCATGTTTTGGGTTCTCTATTTTTTTTCATTATTCCATTTAAACTAAAACAATATTCAACTGAAACAGATGAGAGGGAGAAAAATATAACAGCATATTAGTTTCTAGTAGATCTCAACACACTTAACTACAGTATGTTTCATTTGTAGGAGACAAGAGATCATCTATATTCTGCATACTTATTAAGGGATTTAAAAAGATTTATATAATCACTAGTAAAAGCTTTCAATCAGAATTATGAGATTTAAACTGATTACCTAAATAGAAAATATTTCAGGAAAGGTAGGCAAAGACTTAAAATAGTTTGACTAATAAACCCTATAACATTATCAAATGGATTTTTTTTTTTTTTCCTCTGTACAAAAAAAAAGAAATACAAATCATTATTCCATTAGTCTTCATCAAATTTCATTGATTCAAAAAAATAAAAATAAAAAAATAAGTACCATATTAAATCTTGAAATGATATAAATTTTGGTATGCATTCATGAAAAAAATATTTTTAAAAAATTAAATGAACATTTTTGCAGTTGCAGTAATTCACAAAAGACTGTCTGGTTTACAAAGGCATTCATAACAGAAACTGTTACACCCCATGTTAGCAACAACAAATTTCATATTAGATCCTCTGTTAAAAATAAATTGTAAATAAGAGTAATATTGAAAGAGGTAAATGACAAGAGGAAATATCTTACTAGTAAATTCCAGTCTTATCAGATATTTGTGCTAAATTTAGCATTAAAAGGGCAAATAAATTACACATCAAAAGATATTGGGTTGTTCAAAACTTTTATATAGTTTTTATCATTAAACGTGTATAATTTTAATTAAATGAAAAAAATTCACTTTTTGTTATATTCTGACAGTTGTCATATCAACAGGCATTTTTTCAAAATTAGCATTTGTTTATTGTGTCTAACAATAAAGATAGAAAATAAACAACCTTTTGCTGCATATCAAAACAAAAATTTAAATGCAAAAAAAAGTTTTTGGTGTTTATGAAAAAGGTACCGAGAATAATTGAACATGTCAAAAGTGGTTTGCAGTTACACTGAATGATACCCCACAAATAGACCAGATGAGCTTGATATGAAATGAAAACAGTGAGAATAATAATCAACAATTAGAGAACACAGCCAATATACTAAAAATATCTAAATCAAGGTTTTCAAACTTATTTGCATCAGCTTAGTTATGTTAGTCACTTTGATGTGTGACTTCCTCATAAATTAATTAGAAAATACCAACTAAACCATATTTCCATATGTAATTTGCTATTGAAATATAATAAAAATGTTTTGTTTTTTAGACAAATTGTGAAGAATGACAAAAACAGGATACTTTACAACATGACAAGCAAAAGATTACGGGACAATGAAAATGAACCACCACAAACCATGGCAAACATCAGTCTTCAAAGGAAGTGATTATATGTGTGTGTGTGTGGGGGGGGGTAGGATGGGAAAAGAGTGCTCTTGTCATGAGCTCCTTATGGAGAACCAAATAAATGATTTAGACAAATACTTCACCTAAGTAGACAATGAAAAGCATCCAAAATTAGAAAGGGTATAATATTTCCTCAAGTTGACTGGAAATTTTTCATTCATTTACCAGACAGTGCACCTTTAGATTACCATTTACTCAGGTCTTTACAAAATTCTCATAATAAAAAAATAAATATGAAAAAAATCCCTGGAAGACTGCAAAAGGCATCAACAGCCATTCTTGCCTTGAAAAGATAAAAAGTTGTCAGAGGATAAAATTATGAAGTTACCTGGGAAAAGAAAAAAAATGAAAATGGTAGAAGACTGTAGATCAAATCAGTAAAGATATTGCTCATTTAAATTAATTTTGAAATTAAAACAATTATTTTTTATTCAGACTTAATAAGCAAAACATCTTGATTACCCAATACCTGCAGTAAAAGAATTTTAGTTAAATTAGAATTTGGGGTTCTGATTAACTATATGAATGCTTAAAGATTATTTGAAACCCAACATTTCTGTAATTGATGAGCTTTCCTCTTTGATATTTGAAATGGCTAGATGTAATCATAAGTTTTATGCTAACAGTTTCTTCTCTCGCACTTCTCACTTATGGAACTCTCTTCTGGTTTCATACTTTCCAGTCAAATTTAATTTTTCAAAAATGTAAATGCAATGTCAATCATTATCTTTTGTCTTCTTAATTCCTGTTCTTTTATTGTTCTCTCCTTAATATTTTCTTTTTCTCATATTCTTTCACACTCAGTAACCCTTTGCATCTTATTGGCTTCATTACCTTGTTTGGGGTGAAATGATTAAAAAAATAATTTGAGAAAAGTCATTATCTTCCTAACAGTAGTTTGGATGATTGGACTAATAGTAACAAATACTGTATTTGTATTTCATTGCTTTGCTTTAGGAAGTGGCTTCAGAAGTGCCAAAAGAGTTAAGATGAAATGTGACACATAAATCTAATGAAATATCACAAGGGAAAGAATCAGCATTGATATCTGTACAAATATAGACAAAAATATTATATTATTTTTACATTTTCTGCATCCTGTCAAAGAGTGTTTTCTGCATTCTTGCTATGTCTCCATTGTATAGTGTTTCTATCTCTACACATTTGTTTAATCATTCATCTTTTGCTTACTTGTGTTTCTTTTTAGTATATTTGTTTAACATCCTATATTTGGTGCTATTCCCATTCCTTGGCATTATCTGTTGTCTGTTTTTCATCAGTTTGAGGATTTCATCTGACACCTACTTCTTTTTTTTATGTTAATTCCCTTGAATAATCTCTTTTGCTGTTGTCAATTACCTTACTTCTAAGATTTTATATTTGTCTTTAATTACATATGTATATGCTTATTTTTAACTAGAGTTGATTTGGAGTTTATTGCATTGTTTTGTTTTAGATTTATTTAATTTTTGTAATTTTTCTATTATTTGTGATTGCTCCCACAGATAACACTTTGGTATATTTTATAATGTAGAACTGCATTTCTAAATCTTTTATTGATTGTTAAGTAGTCTATCTGCTTCTATATGTCGCCTTTCCATGATCACAACAAGTGTTTTATATTCTTCACAGCAGGTGTTGCTTATTACTTGATCATTCACTATGCAATAAGGTATGTATTTTTCTCTGCATTCATTATCTGATCCAAGTCCATACATGCTATGTACTGCACTATCTTTTCTTTCCTAGGTATCCCATGATGCAATTTTTGCAACTTGCACTAGCCTTTGGTATTAGATAATGTGTTGTAAAATTAATCTATTTCTTTCTTTCTATTTCTGGGAATGAGGAATTATTGTTATTTACATGTAGACTATTGTCCTCATTTTTGTTGTTGTTACCAAAACATTTTGGTTGTTGTGCCCTCTGGCCTTCATCAGGTGTATGTCGAATCAGGTAACCTACAGGGAATTTTCAAATTGAATCCTTCATTTAATCTACGAGGCAAGCAATAACTGAGCAGTACTAAATAACAACAAAACAAAATATCCCTAGATATGGACTGTGGAACAATGACAACCTACCCCCATAGATTAAATAAAGAGTTCAGTTCAAATTCCCTGTGGGTTACCTGGATCAACATACACCAGACAAAGACTGGGGAACACAACTGCCGAAATGTTGCAATAACAGCAACAACAAAGACAAGGACAATAGACTTCATGTGAATAACCGATATCTTCTTTTGTGCTTTATGACATTGCTATATAAACTACTATGATGGCCATACTGAATGGCTTCCTTTTCAATTTCACTACAACTCTAACTGTTGCCTATATCCATGTTGTAGCATATCTACAGCTACTAATGGGTATGCCTTCATTCACATAAATACAGTAGTAAATACTGTATATTGGTCTGCATTTGGAGATTTGTTTCCAGTTGTGCTGGTCAAACTCTCTATCTCCGGGCAGAGAGGATCCCCAGATAAGGTTATATCAAAGGGCAGAGCCATGTCTCAGGAAACAGCTACCCGACCCAGTTTTATACGGAGTCTACGGGGAATTTTTAGACAAGCTATGTGGGGCAGTTGATAGATATCCTGCAGTTGGAGATTCTTTGTGGAATTCACTTAACTCACTTCTAGCAGTTGACAACTACTTCTATGCGCCACTGGCAAATCTTATATGTGTTGTTCATGTCCTAAGTATTATCATTCATTACCAATGTTCATGTGATTATTCTATTCAGTAACCTTCCCAAGGTTACAACAATCCCAGAACATATTTCTTTTTGACTTTATATAATATTGGATATACAGGTGATATAATGGTTAGTGGCTTGGAGCAAGAAATCAGTAAGCTGAGCTCAAATTCCAGTTGAGATCTTTACATTCACTTTCACACAAATACCTTTGGGAAAGGTATGAATGCATTTCTTCTTCCCCCACCAGCTATGGGGTAAATAGTAGTGGTTTTTCAGCTTTGGTTGGCAATCAGTCTAAGAGAAGGACAGCCATGAATTCAAAAACCGGTTGTATATAGGGCAATATATTCATCCTATGAAAACCTACTATTGAAACCACAACAGCAACACCTAGCCTCATACTTCTCAGTGAAGTTCACAGGACTTGAGTGAGTGAAAGAGTTATCTAATATTAGTCCTACTCCTCTTTCATTTCTCTCTCTACCTGTATATATGATTCTGTAGTCACTGCTTGTGAAGTACCCACTGTTTATTCGTTTTGTTTTAAATACACCCAGAATGTCGATATTTGGTTTTTCCATTTTCGGTTTTCCATTTGCTTTCCAACATTGGTATACGGTCTTAACATTACATGTACTGATTATGATTTTGCCTTTGTTGCAAACAGTTGTTGGGTGATGATCAGGTGACACCTGTCACACACATCTCTTTTGTAGGTAAAGAGTCAGTTTCATTAGAGCTAAACCTCTTCACGCTATTTCCTGTTATTTTTGTGTTGTGTATTGCCACAATTATTCTTGGGAGGGATAGTGGAGTGGTTGGTATTGTCGTCTCCATGTTGACATTGAGATATCAGCTATAGTCATTTTTCTTCCTATAGGGTTGCTTATCATCCTATTCATCCTGATTTCCTAACTATTGCAGGCACTCCCCTACATTCAGTAATCCTCTATCTTGAGTTGCTCTTGGGTCTTGTATTGGGTGAGCAATATTATTTTTAAAAAGTCTGTCAGGAGATACAAGTATTGGTTTGTAAACAAGCTCAAATGAGGTGGTCTGCAGTGATGTCTACCCTTAAGTAACAAAAATAAAGGGGCCACCAATGTGTGTAAAGCTTCAAAAGTTGCTGTAGCCTCTAGTTTCTGGTATTTCTTACTTTCAACTTCCACCATTCAAATCTATCAAACTTAAATTTAGCATTGCCAGCTGAAAAACTGTCATCTCTGGCTTGAACATAGCAAATCAGTAATGTTCATTTTTGTTATGGCTTCTACTGAAATATCTTTTAAACTAGTCAATTAAACAAATGACAATCAATAGTAGCAGAGTAGTATTAAGATCAACATAGAGTAACCATTTCTCAAACTTCTGGCTGAAAACAAATCCAATTGAAGAATCCTAATAAAATATAACCCAAACTATTTCTAAACAGATACCTAGTGCAACTACTGATTTTTCAAAATAAAAAAATGGAAGTTTAGTTCATTATTTATGACCTGTGCTACCTGAAAAATAGAAAAAAAAAACAAGGTATTGATTTAGGAACATTGGCCACTGGAAAAAAAAAAAAAAATTTATTACTGTGCTGATTTTAAAAATTCTTTTTTTTAGTTTTTAACTCAAATGTGCAACAAACTCAACTGTTATGAGTTTTCTACTCATGGCAGATTTGTTGCACATTTAAGTTAAAAAAAAGGATGGCATTTTTTAGCCTAGCTAATAAAAAACTTAAAAGGAAAATGATAAAAACAAAAAAACGTACGACAAAAAGAGAACCATAAAAAATGATACGGGTCCTATGGATGCAGATAATTACAAGGTGGATGGATAGATAGCTAGCCTATCATATTACATTCTGAGACTTAAAAAAAGTCTTCGTCGTCATACTATACTTTTTTTAGTGTTACCAATGGTACTCTACTGCTGTTAACTGCATTCCAAAAAATAGTTTTAAAAACCTACACCAAAATAAACATTCTTTTTACTTTATTTTATTATTTTTTTTTTTACTTAAGATATTTTCGGTAGAGATCCTGATCAAGTGATTTTTATTTTAAATACTAAAAAAAAAAAAAACTTTATTATCGGACATACAATTACAACGTTAAAAGCCCCGATAAACGAACGTAGAAGGGGGGAAAATATCTTCAATCTTCATCATTTTTCTAAGTTTTCTTTTTTTTTAATGACAATTCTTCATCTCAGAGATTCAAATGATTTATTACTTTTTTTTCTATAAAACAGTAGTGAAAAGTCAAATATTTATCTATGAATAAAAGTAACACTAACTATTGTTCATAAACTAGGAAACATGCATCAGTTTTTTATTATTTTTAACTTTAAAAAACTTAATCTTTCTTGTAAAACATTTCGAAAACTTTAACAACTTGGGTCTTTTGGTCGCGAAATATAAATAATAATAGGCTACAATCTATATTTTAATTCAATTTTTTAAAATAAACATGCTTTTTAGCACTCGACTAAATTAAAAATGTGCCTTTGCCTAAGTGAAGTCTTACATTTTTAACTACACATACTCTGATAAACAAAACAAAAAATACCTGTTAAATAAAAAAAAAGTAAAACAGAAACAGTTTTTAACCAACAATTGAATGCCTTCTTAATTTATGTTAAATTAAATTTAAAAAATACTCTTCTTTTGACACGTATGCCGTATGACTCGCCGATGATATAAAAAAAAACAATATAAACATGTCTTTTTAGTTTTATGTCAAGTTAGTTTCTGAAGGTACCGAATGCAGTTTGTTGAGTGACAGCAGATGCATGTTTGTTTTATTTTTAAACTGACTTTTAAAGTTATATTTTTAAGTTTCACAATAATACAATTGTAATCAATCAAAAAATTTTTAAAAGATTGATTAGAATCGATAAGGAATTTAAATAAAAACTAAAATGTAAATTATGAAGTTCTATAGTTGAAATCCCAAGCCTATTTGGACCGAAAACTGTCAAAATAAATTATTTGTTTAAAAGACTTATTTAATATGATGTTTAATTTATTAACATTATTATGAAATTTCAAACGAATCTTAAACCTTTTAAGAATAAATTGAACTTTCATTCTTGCAAATTTTTAGCTTTTTGAAACTAGCCATTTAAAGTTGTTTAACAGCCGGTTTGTCTTTATCATCTTACTTTAATTTTTCTCTTATTCTTACCAAATCTGCGAATAGTGTCAGTAATATTAAAAAATATGAGGTAAAATATGATTATATATGCAAAAGAGTATAAAAATTCAAACATTTTTTTATCAGTGCTTAAAATTCTTACCATGTTTTGATGAAGCGTGCACATGTATGTCTCTCAGAACAGGAAGTTGACACTAACGTTTCGCAGTTAATAACCAATATGTATTTTTAAAAAGATACATCGAAATAGTTCTTTCATCTATTTTATATGCGAATGATTTAGAAATTGGAAAAAATTCTCGAATATTTCTACTGTTTCTGGGTATTTCTTTTCCAGTAAATCACAACATCTGAAAATTCTAGTACATCACAAAGGGGGATAACTTTTTCTTTCCTTTCACCGTTGCTCTTAATATGATTCGGATCGGCTGAACCCTCACCTTAAAAGGTGCGATGCAAAAAGAAACCTCACCCTTTTTTTCCCCCTCGATGCAACTAGAAATGTTTTCTTTTCTCGAATGATCGCTGATGTACTTCAGATAGAGGAAAATAGATTTGAGCCAAACTTTCAAATAACGTAATATTACTTCTACTTTCAAAAGAAAAAGTTGACTTACTACGACTGGTTTAAAGAAGAAAACTTTAAAAGTCAACCAAACAAAACTTTACGTTTAAAGGAAAGCATTTCTTACGCGAACATTCTCTTAAAATTATTCCATCTCTATAAGTTCTTAATGAATTGCATTCAAAATGTTATTTTTTCTTGATCCAAACAAAAATAATTCAGCCTATCTCCGTTGGAGTTTTATTTATTTAAAATAAAAAAAAATCTAATAGTTTTTAAATTAAAAATAAAATCTACTTCCTGACTTCAATTTTGTTTGACCTCTAAATCAATATTTTTTTTTTAGTTTAAAAAACAGATACCAGTCTATTTGCATTGTCATTTAAACTCTAAAAGCAACAACGTTCTTTCTTCTCTGTGTCTGTAAGTAAAAAAAAAGTTGTTACGCGTTTTTATTTGTCAAAGTTATTGTCACCCTTAAAATTATAAATTTAAGATTTTTTTTAATGGATGCGTGCGTAACACAACAGTTACTAAAGTTTAACAGAGAAATGTGGGACCAGCGAGCCAAGTTCGTTTCACAAATAACATATCCTGGGGGGGTGGGGGTGAAAACCATCTCTTCCCTTCAAAAATAGCAATCAGACCAAGTTCTCCAGACTTAACTGACAACCAGTCCAAGCGATGGAAACCCCGGGCTGTGTTTTTTGTGACCTCACTATCTTCATTTGTTTTTTTTTTCTACCTACGTTATAAATTAAATTAAGTACAATTATTAAAAGCTGAAAGTTTTGACATCCTTCTGGGTTACTTTTCTTTATTTTTGTCCAAATCCATGAATTTGTTTTGCTCATGTTACAGTTAAGTCTAGAAAAAACAGTGACTAAAGGAAAGCACTGGTAGTCTTCAACATAGGGGCGGTGCGTACTACCCCCGATTAGGCCGCCGGGGGGGGTAGGCCCCGGATAGTGCTTTGTGACCCTCGCTATATCAACATTTATATACGTTACAAATTAAAAGCTAGCAGCTAGTACAACTGACCATTTAAGAATGAAAAACTTTCGCAGGTTTTGACGTCATTCGGCCGTGGTCTCTTTTTTTTTTTCTCGTCCAAATCCGTGAAATTGTTTTGACTTTTGCTCAAGCTATATTTCGAAAAAACGCTCCATTCACTATCCATAAATGTTGAATTGAATGTGTTAAAATTGTTCAACTTTTTAACAAGAAAAAAATTCAATTTGAAGTTTAAAATTGCTATATTGTCGATTTATTTAAGTAAGAAAAATTGAAATGATTATGTTATGAAGATTAATAAACTTATGAAAATTGAGAGTGGCCTCGTATCATAGATTCGAGGGTAGGGAGGCATGAAATCCTTGCACCGACCATGCTGTTGACTGAAGGTATGGATAAAAAAAAAGGTGATAAACGCAATTTCTGAGGGTAAAAATCGGTGTGGTATGGCCGCGAAAATAAACTTTACAAATGGTTGGTGTATCAGAGAAGACAATGACTTGCCACAAATATGATAATTTTTAAAGCAAAGAGGATTTTTTTGTATACTATTCTAGATTTTGCTGGTCATACATAGGTCATGAAAATAAACAAACTGGAGTAAGGAAAAAAGAACGACGCTTGACCTGGTATGCACGTGAAGAATTTGTGGGAGAAAATTAAGTGATATAGTGATTTAAATCATTTAAGAAAACTAAATAATAGGAAATCTTTTTTTTTTTTTTTTTTTTGTAGTGTAGTAACTATTTTCTTAACATTCTGCATCATTTATAAATATTACCTCCCCTTTAACTGTATATGAAATACCTCTCAAAGTGTTTTAGTGTAGTCCTATATTTGAAATTGCAGTAGCCTGGCTCTCAATTTTAGTCAAGGTTGTTTTAGATGTTGTGATAGAAGGATATGATTACACAACCAAGAAATTCAAGTTCAAATTGCATTATCAGATCTAAAATTTGGCTTGGCGAAAATAGTCACCTACAGAGTACTAAAGGTTTTAAATTTGATGTTTTGAGCATTTTTGTGTCTTAGACGACTAGGTTTTATTTTCCAAAACTTTGTCTTCTAAATAAAAACGTGTCTTATACTCCAGTGCATCTTACATTCTGAAAAATACAGCAATTTTATGAGGTCATTCATTCAAGTAAAGAGAAAGAATTAAAAAGTAAATCTGAGAAAATACTGAAAGCAATTTTATTTTCACTTTTGCGAAAAGTTTACCAAGGACTTTATTTCAGTTAGTTTTTGGAGTGAAGATAAAAATAAACACCAAGGCAGTCAAACACCAAGTGACAAAAAAATGTTTTTTTGAGTCAGAGGATTGTGCATTGTTCTGGTCAAAAAATCAATGCTTCAAAAATAAGTATTTAACATTTTTCAACCAATGAGTCACTTTCTTACTAACAGTAAAAAACATACTTTGTGATCCCCTTGAAGGGCATGTAAATAAAGTTTCCAGACAGACAAACCAGTAAGGAAAGACAAACGGCAACAGGTCACAATGCTTGACTTAAACAAAATTCCCTTATACATTTGTAGTGCCACGCCTACATTTCTTCAACTTTGATTGGTCGATTAATATATACTAAAAATAGTAAGACAATTTATCGATCGCATTTCACCATACTGAATTTTTTCCTACAGTTTGCTCACAAACAAGTTTTGTTATAAAATCACTGATTGGTTCATTTTTCATCCAATCGAGTATTTTTCGTATACCTTCAAAAATATATCCCGCGTTCGTGATGGGAGCCACATATAGTAGTATAAATTTGGATGCATTTCCCAAAATCAAACAGTAGAGTAATAGACCACAGTAGAGTACAGAACAGAGACAATAGATCTCAACTACTCACTCGTGTTATTCATTCTACTCACTCTGCATGTACAGACACACAGATACAGAACCTGAATTTCATACAACATCAGTTCTATGTGAACAAACCAAGTTGAAACAACTCTGTTAGTTACAAACACACAACTGAACAATCTTCTGAAGATACATTCAATCCTAACACAGAACTCTGAACTTTAGATTCAGAAAACTCTGAACTTTACACTCAGAAAAACTTGCTTAAAAACATTTCCTAACAGATAAAGGGAAACTACTTTTTTCTCCTTATTCACACATTATACAACTACCTTGTATTTATTGTTGATTTTAATATATATGTTTATTTGTTGAAACAAATTGGTTCTTCATTGTTTTCCTTGATATTTAAAAAATTATGTATGAATGTTAAATGCTTATTCAACACGCAGCCACATTTATCTACCAAGCAGCATCCTACATTGGTAACCTCAACACTTAAGAAACAGCATTCTACACATTCATCCGTTTTCTTCACCAAGCTTTGGGAAACTTACACTTTCCTCCTCACTTTCTCACTCACCTCTTCTTTCTCACACATATACACAAAGAAATCACATTTATTTCTTATTTCTTTTCATCTTGGAAAACAACTACAAGGAATGGACTGCATCTTGACAAATATAAGAACTTTAATGCTCACACACATACGCTAAGGAAAATTTAGTTGTAAAAAAACATGAAAATAAAAATATATTTTTATATTTAAACACTTTTTTTTCTTTTCCTTTGTTGTGGGCTGATTCAAATCAACAGCAATTTTAATTTTCTGAATACTTGTATTAATATTTACTGACCTTTGTTTAACCAGGCCACAAAAACAGAGCATCTAATGAAGATTGGATTCTACGGAAAAAGTAAGTGAGAAAGTAACCTGCTTATAATGACAAGAAGCTTATTTTTCTAAGCAATGGTTGATATGTTCTTTATTATTGCCTTCACAACTTTAGTTTTAGTTACTTTCAAAATTTTCATCTTAATTTTAATTTAAAACTCAAGAAAGCACTAAAAATAAATGGACAGGGAGCTAAATCACATTATACTCTACTGCAATTAGATCTCTTTCTGATTCACACTACATATCAGCCAGATGTGAACACTGAAAAACAAAACACAAAATAAAAAAGGGGTTTTCTGCACAGAATCTCTGAGTATCATATTTGGTCCACAAAATAAATCCCTACAATAAATAAAATAGCTAATCATGAATGTTCCCACCAGGAAAAAAGATGACCCTGGGGGCCACGAGATTTACTTAAAAGAAAGCCCCTCATAATGAATAACACAGTTGTGGGCTGAAAGGCCATGTGTTGTGAGCTGAAAGGCCATGCTGTTGCCATCACCGCCATAATCACTTCTCTCATCACAACTCTCACCACAACTCTTCACATGCAGAATACATCCAACAGGCCAGCTCTCGACACCAACCACTGAGATTTCTAATGCCTTGAAATCACCACCGTACAGCTCCAGGCCTCCCTCATCATCATCTCTCTTGTCATCACCACTGTGACCTCTTTTGCTGATCTCTAATTCGACCAGAATCCAACAGAGACATTCCATCCAAACATCATTCACTATCTACACCTAATCCCTAATCGCCACTACCATAACCTCAGCAATCAATGAGCCTTACCACAAATCAACCCACCAACATAACTTCAATCGACCAACCTGTCAACTCACCTTACAATTC